GGGTATTTGTGGGGGTGCTCTCTCTTCCTTTCCCCAAGCATGCCCCTGTGTTGGACCCCTTTGCTGCTTTAACGCCCATTTCAGTCCCGAAGTTTGGTCATTTGTTTATCCATTTATTGATGTTCCCTTTTTTTAATGTAATTTTATTTATTAAGTGATAAAACGCGGTGTGAACTCCGGGCCAGTGTCTGGCAGTCTATCAAGAATCACAGAAAGTGAACTTCCTGAACAGTCACCCGGTACAGCTGCTTGTGGAGGACTTGAGTGAGAGCTGTAGCTGTCCTGGCTAGCGGTGGGCTAATATCACACAAGGACAACATGAGCTAGGGTGCTACAGCTATCTAATCTAGTAAACTAGCCACCTCGTGCAGTGAGAAGACCGGAAACGCACCTGTTGGACAGTTATCACTCATGTGTTGCCGCAAGTTAACATGTCGAATCAGCACCAGCCGATCCAACAGCAGCCTAATCAGATCTCTGCTCCTTTCCCACAACTGTCTGTGAAACCTTCCAACAATCCTCTTCAAATCAAAAGGAATTTAATAACAGACGATTACAGTTTAACTAGTCAGGTGCTCGGGATGGGGATAAATGGCAGAGTGTTGGAAATATTCCACGGAGAGAGTGGAGAAAAGTATGCACTAAAGGTAAACATGTTGTCTTAACCTCGCAGATGTTTTGTTACTGAATTGTATAATCATATAGATACTAGATTTACGTATGTAAATTGATTACTATATGGAGAATAGACGCGTTCTGTTGCCATGTTTTTCAACTGTTAACGTCAAACAGAAATAAACAAAATTTACACTCCTTTAAAAAAAAAAAAAAAAAGTGCTTTGGCCTAGTGTTATATAGTTAGAGTTTGAAACCTGCACCACTAAAATTTCGGATTTTCTAGTAAAGATAGCAGCAACATGTTGTCTGTAATATTTACAAGATAAACTGTTGGCTACCACTGTGGGCTCAAGGTACTTCTAGTTACAGTGACCGATATTTAATATGGGTTTGGATATGGACCAAGACATGTGTTCAAGAGTTCAGATGGGTGTTTTTCCATATTGCTCTCAGGATGTGTCAGAGGTGGTGAGCACAGTTTTGACACTTGAACGTCTGGCAAGTGCAATTGCCCTAATGTTGTTTGATTTTCATGTATTTGACCGAAACCATTATGAACACAAATTATTACTGGTCTGTGGGATAGGGTTTGAATGTTTCTGAGTTCCTTTCTTGTCTTCTGTACACATTGCTTAAAGATACTCAGGGGCCAGTTGTTGTTTTTTTTGCCACAGTTACTTGTTATCTACATTTCTGTGATTAGAGAACAGTTTTCTTAGATGCCTCTGAAATTGTCATTACTCATGATTTGTGTGCAGTAAACAGGATTAAAGCCAGCCAGCCTGACTAATAACCTTTGTGCATTGAGGTTGCCTGCACGTGGTCATCAATCACAGAGAGTGCAGTCAAGGCTGGACCCAGAATGTATCACGCCGAATTCTGAGTTGAATGTTAACAGATGCTTTGCTCTTATTTTTAAAAAAAAAAATCTGCTTCTCATACACTGCTTCCTCTTCCCTCTCCTCAGAACAGTATGTGTCCGCTTTTAAGTCTCATGTTCAACCAATAGGAGAAAGAATTATATTGACTCGCTGCATTCCCCTGGGATCAATTAGTCTTCTCTAAGGCATGTGTGATGCATATCAAACTACACAGTACCTGTTTTGATGGCAGCATTTAGAGTTACAGTTGAGCGTTGCCAGAGTTCAAGAGGTGAGGTCAGATCACCTGTAATTATTTCTGCATTTAGGTGATCATCCACAATAAACACCTTTTGTCAGGGTCAACTCTCTGTTCCAGATTTTTATGTTGGGCTACCACCTGGGGTGTTTTTGAAAGAGGAGTGTTAACTTTTCCTATCCAAATGTTGCCAGCCAGAAAGAGAGAGGGGAACATGCCTGTGTCTAAAAGTATCCTCTTGCGAAAGGCTCGAGATGACTGAGTGATTATGACGTCTGGTGCGGTACACCAGGACACTGTGTCATGCAAACAGCTTTTATTAGGGAGGGAAGGTATTTTGAAATGGGGAAAACAAAATGGAGAAACTAGCAAATGACCAAACATTTTCCTGACCTTTTGACATAATTTTTTTCCCCAATGAGAAACAAGCGCCCCCCACCCCCCCATTCCCACTTTTCAGTGTGTGTCTTCTAATTTGTAACTGCATTCTTCAGGTATGATTTCTTGCAAGAGACCCACTTGTTTTAGCAGCAGCGTGAAGATATATGGTATTTGTATTCGAGAAGAAAAGCACTTCCAGTCCAGTGCAGTTTTTGGAGAAACAAGTTATCGATGCCTTCCCAGTCTCATTCTTGGAATGTCAGTAAACCATCATCTTCCTCTTGCACCCTGTTAGATAAGCCTTTGCGCTGACATTTCTGAGGTCTTGTGAAGGCAGTGCATCTCAAAAAATGAGGGCAGTTTTTATTATGATATATGGTGTGCGAGACAGACTAATCAAGGCAAGGAAATCCTCTGAATGTACCATAGTAAGTCACAGTTTGAGAGTGATAATGAAGATCGTGAAATAGACATCCTTGACATTGCTACACATTTTTGTGAAAATATTGCAGGGGAATGCAACTCTAATTCAGCATGCAGATATCTTCTCTTGTGATATGTTATTCATTTGTTAGCAGAATTAACTGTATTCAGATTGTTCTACAACCAAAATTGTCCACTATTTGAGAAGCTGGAGCCAGCAAATGCTAATCTATTTATCGACAAAGCAGCTCTTTTTTGCAACCGAGGCAAAGGGTTCCATCGTAAGGTGTCCCGTAATTGCTTCAGAGCAATGGTACTATTAATATCGCCAGGATTCACACTGTCTTTTTCTTTTTTATCTACCCAGACTGTTTTTTAATTTGCTAAAAATAAAAATGTGAACTTGTTTAACCAGACTAACTAAAACCTTGTCCTGCTTTCTGACTTTGTTCGTTCCTCTGCTGTTTGTGTTACAGATGCTGCAGGATTGTCCAGAAGCCAGGCGGGAGGTGGAGCTCCATTGGAGGGTGTCCCCTTGCCCCCACATAGTACCCATCATCGATGTTTATGAGAACATCTACCAGGGCAGGAAGTGCCTCCTCATTGTGATGGAGTGGTATGTTATTCTGGAAGTACCAACACATACGTACACACACACAGACACACACACACAGACACAGACGTTTACCCTGTGTCCACACAGACCCTGTGACATCTCACTGACATAATGCATTCCCTAGCCCCTTAACCTACCCTTAACAATCACAATTACAAGCCTAACCTTAAAGGCAGGGTAGGCAAGTTGTTTCTAAAACACTTTTTGTCATATTTGTTGAAACTGTCTATATACACCAATGCATATTAAAAATTTAGGTGCACTGAAAAAGAGAGTATAAAAATGGTCTGTCTGTAGTCCTCTCAGCGATGCAGTAAACACAGCCACTCGTTCCATTCGGACCGAATGCAATGATTGGCTGGGTGACTGTCACACTCCCTCGCTACCATGGCTACCACCCCTGCTGCTACAGGAGCTCAGCTCAGAGCTGACGAGCGAAGCGGTGAGACCGGAAGTAATATCTGCGTGGCTTTTCAATGATGGTGACAACTGAGGTATCCCAAGGGGCTGAAAAGTTACACTGTGGTCGCTTTTATTTCTGCTGGACAGGTAATCTGGCTTTTATCAGTTTGATGGTAGCTACCTACTTAGCATACAGCTAACGGCAGCTACGAGTGCAGGCTGGTGGAGTGAGCCAGAGTAGAGATGATGGATTACAGGTGCTGTCATATAATTAGAATATCATCAAAAAGTTGATTTATTTCAGTAATTCCATTAAAAAAGTGAAACTTGGATATTATATTCATGCATTACACAGACTGATATATTTCAAATGTTTATTTCATTTAATTGTGATGATTAAAACTGACAACTAATGAAAATCCCAAATTCAGTATCTCCGAAAATTAGAATATTAAGACCAATACAAAAAAAGGATTTTTAGAAATGTTGGCCAACTGAAAAGTATGAACATGAAAAGTATGAGCATGTACAGCACTCGGTACTTAGTTGGGGCTCCTTTTGCCTGATTACTGCAGCAATGCGGCGTGGCATGGAGTCGATCAGTCTGTGGCACTGCTCAGGTGTTATGAGAGCCCAGGTTGCTCTGATAGTGGCCTTCAGCTCTTCTGCATTGTTGGGTCTGGCGTATCGCATCTTCCTCTTCACAATACCCCATAGATTTCCTATAGGGTTAAGGTCAGGCGAGTTTGCTGGCCAAATAAGAACAGGGATACCATAACCTTAAACCAGGTACTGGTAGCTTTGGCACTGTGTGCAGGTGCCAAGTCCTGTTGGAAAACGAAATCCGCATCTCCATAAAGTTGGTCAGCAGCAGGAAGCATGAAGTCCAGCAGTCCAGTCCTTTTTGTCTTTAGCCTAGGCAAGACGCTTCTGACACTGTGTCTTGTTCATCTGTGCGTGGTGGTTCTTGAAGCACTGACTCCAGCTGCAGTCCACTCTTTGTGAATCTCCCCCACATTTTTGAATGGGTTTTGTTTCACAATCCTCTCCAGGGTGCGGTTATCCCTATTGCTTGTACACTTTTCTACCACATCTTTTCCTTCCCTTCGCCTCTCTGTTAATGTGCTTAGACACAGAGCTCTGTGAACAGCCAGCCTCTTCAGCAATGACCTTTTGTGTCTCGCCCTCCTTGTGCAAGGTGTCAATGGTCGTCTTTCGGACAGCTGTCAAGTCAGCAGTCTTCCCCATGATTGTGTAGCCTACAGAACTAGACTGAGAGACCATTTAAAGGCCTTTGCAGGTGTGAGTTAATTAGCTGATTAGAGTGTGGCACCAGGTATCTTCAATATTGAACCTTTTCAAAATATTCAAATTTTCTGAGATACTGATTTTGGGGTTTTCATTAGTTGTCAGTTATAATCATCAAAACAACAATTAAAAGGAATGAACACTTGAAATATATCAGTCTGTGTGGAATGAATGTATACATTATACAAGTTTCACTTTTTGAATGGAATTACTGAAATAAATCAACTTTTTGATGATATTCTAATTATGTGACCAGCACCTGTGTATGTAACTGCAGCTGAGCTGGCTGAGAGCTGTTTGCCGACGCTAACATTAGGTAAGGCAATGTAGGTGCAGTTTACTGACGGTGCCGGTTTAGTTATTCACCATCTAGGTTTATTTTTATGCCGTTTACACCTAACATTATCTTTACCTTGTATCTAATCTTTGTGTGATTATTTTTGTGTCTGCGATCTTTGTTTGACTGTATGTTACTCTTTTACAAATGTGGCGATGTAGCTGTTTGTTCTTGTAGTTATGAGAAAGACATTTCAACGTTAGTATACATAAGCAACGCTGGCTAAAGGTCCCCAAATATCTGCGTTTCTGGTCTATAAGCTACTTATTATATAGTTTGACATTATACATAGCTAAACCTACTGTGTGAAAATCTTTTACTGTAATTGGTGCTGTTATGCCACTATTTATTTTACCAGAAGTAAAAATTACTGTATGTTTTATTTCTACTGTGTCCTCAGGTCACCTGGAGATTTGGAGTCTTTCATAGCCCTGTACTTCTCACTAGTATACACTGATCGGACCATGCTGGATGGCCTGGATTACAACCACCATGTCCACAGTCCAGCCAGGAGAAAAGCTGATGACACAATTCAGTATGTTGCATTTTTATTACTCCTCTGCATTTTACTCAATATAAGTGATGAGTCAAAAAAAATTTAACTGTATGAGGAATACAGATAGATGGTGCTGATTTATTGTTTTGATTGCATTTTATGTGGAAATGCTAATTACTGTATAAGAGAACAATGCCAGGTATTACAAACTTTTCACAAAGCTGATCCTCCTTTCTGTGTTATCAGGTACTGCAAGGTGTACAACAAAACACTTGTACTCATTGAAGGTGGAGGACTACAGTTACATCGTAGACCCACAGAGTGCCACTCTCCTCCTCTGACGGTTGATACTGAGGAGATGCCTAGAAGCAGAACCATGAGAACCTGATGATTCCCGTCAACATGGGGTTCAGTCAGGTGTCCCTGCCCCAACTGTACTGATAGATACAGCAAAACGTACAACAGAAAGTAATATGGTTGGTTTTAAAATGTGGTGATCATGTCAAAAAGGTGATTTTGATATTTTAAATCATCTTCACAGCAACAATACAAAGCTACGACTAAAGTCTGAACTGTCTTCATAATCAGTCAAGATACCTCTGGACTTGTCTTTCTTCCTGTGTATATACTTATTTTTAATAATGTTTAAAAATGATCTATTTGTGATATAGGTTGTAGTTTTAGTAGTATATAATAAGTGTTATACCACATTTGGATGTCATTATTTCAGACATAAGACCTAAATGTAGTTGCTTGATTGTTTATGCTGCAAGTGTAAAGAAAAGGCATTTATCATTTTCAATGTTTTATTTAAAAAAAGAATGAAAATATTCAGAACAGGGAAAAATATCCTTTGTATTTTCTCTACCCTCTTGGGAATAAAACAATGTACAGGTATTCATCCACACAGTGGATGGAATTATTTGTGTGTCAGTTAGTAAGTTACAACTTACATCCTGCTAGGATTAAACCTCTGTATTGTCCTGGTGGATCAGGATAGCAGTATCACGACTCTGTGAGACAATCCTAGTGCTCTACGTTGCCATGCTACAAACTGTCTGTATGCCGCCTGACTGAACTGTCTGTTACTCTGTCCTGGGTCTGGAAGATCAGCCATGTGTGGTGCATGAAAAAACAGTAGTGTGACAGTAGTGGATGTTGTCCACAGTCCTCAGATTCTGGCCTGTAAAGGAATATATAGTTGTTAGAACCCCAAATTGGAAAGATTGGAACATTCATCAACATAATTATGTATTTTTATTGAACAGAGGTTTGTTGTTCCCTAACAGGACTTCTGTGTCCACATTACACACCACGTCAATGTACATGACACAGATGAGCTGATGGCTGAAGCAGAGCTGTAGTAAGTTGTGGTGTAAGCAGTAAAAAATGAATAACAATAGTGATTACATTTTATAGCACTTTATTTTTGACACCAAAGGGGCTTAGGGGGGAACACCAGAGAAACTTTGAGACAAGTACACTGGGAAATATTATACTATATTATACTTATATTAAAATATGTGTATATATATATACACACACCTGTTCATAAGCTGTTGTTGGAGTGTGAAGCTCGATGCAGCTTCCAGAATATGTGCTGCTTGGCTTGCACCTCGTTCTCCCCATCTTGCCTTTTCTTCCTTGGACCCTGGCAGCCGTCCCTCTGCTTCGCCTCGACCCTGGGTCTGTCCCGGTCTGTGCTTGGCTCTGGGGTGCAGTCCTCATCAGAGACAATAATGCTGTCACCGTGAAAGCTCTAACATGCAAAACACATGAAGCCGGGACAAGTTACACACACAACTTCAAATATGATTTGCAGGTTTTCTTTTTATTGTTTTCCCACCTTCAGGGCTGCTACTTTTATGTAAACTGAAGCAAAGATGCAGTCGCTCCACTTGAGTAACTGGGGAGTGTACAAAAACAAAAACAACAAAGTGGCCGTAAAATGGTCTTCTTTGAGTCAAAAATAGAAACTCAATACTACTTCTGCATACACGTGGCAATGATGCAGCAACTATTACATCTATAACAGGAATGCAGCCCAAAGTTGGCACATAAAGCGGCATAAACACGGTTACAAAAAAAAATACGGCAGTGGCACCTCTAATAAGAGGACAAAAAAAAACAATTACAACACTGCACAGTAAACATTACACATCAGTTGTGCTAACCACGAAACAATGTGTCCATACACAGATATACATTAATTATACAAATAAAAAAAAACAACATTCATTAGTTAACTTCCATTTCATACCTAACTCACGGATAACGAGCTCTTGTGGCCCACATGTTGGGTTTCTTCCACAAGCATCGGCTATCCTATACGCAACAATTGCATACAATGTGGAATTTAATACATACATCATACACCACTAGACAAATGCATTAGCATATTGTGCGTAATAACTCACAAGAACATAACATTATTAATAAATGTTCTCACCGATAACAGCAGCAGCCAGTCCATGCAAAATAGCGCAGTTTACTTCCTGTATTTTCCCAGCGCCCCTTGACCTCTTGTCAAGCATGCGGCTGTTTGAGTCAGCAACGCTATGCCCTCTGCTGTCTAAAATCAACACCTGCAGCACTCTCGCTACAGCAGAAAATTGTGCAAATAGAGGTTTTGTAACTTGAATCTCTTGTATATTTAAGGTTTGACTATATCACCTGGTTACACACATGTTATGAGTCTAACACAAAATTAACATTCATTTAGTGTAACTGATGTAAATCAGCATAATGATAAAGTTAGATGTTTTCTTACCCCTGATGTGAGCCGCTGCTCTGTGCTCGTCCTTCAGCGGTGTCGGCAACGCGTGTTCACGTGTTTTGGGGGCGTGGCTTTGGAAGGAGCCCAGAAGGGAAGGGGTGGGAGTTTCTCTGTTGGATACTTTCAAAATCCAGCAGTTTCTTGCTAGTTTCTCATCCTTACCTATCCTGCCTTTAAGTGTTACCCTAACCTAATTGTAACCTGAACCCTAGAATCAAGTCTTGACCCTCAAAAAGCAGTCTCTACACGTGAGGACCTAAATTTTTGTCCCCACAGTGACATGAGTCCCCATCGGTTAGTGTGCATTCATGTTGAAGTCCCCACCCGGATATAAAAACATCTCACACACACACACACACACACACAGACACACACACACAGAGCTAAGAATGTATGTGTGGTCTTATAGCATATGTTGACAAAAGTAGACTTCCTTCGTTGGACAGTGTTCATCTTTGAATGGCCCCTGGCAGTTGTGGCTTGTTTTAGTTGCTCTGTTTGCTGATGAAGTCAGCTTTTTTTAATGCACACCAACTGAGATGATTAGGTTTCCAGAACGCTTCTCGGCAGAAAGTAATAAAAAGCAGACAGCGGCTGCTTTGTCTAAAAAATAAGGCAGGCGTCTGCCACCGCCACCTGTTACAAAAGAATAAAAAACTGTTCTCAAAGCTGGATATGATGTGATCAATGTGATGTCACAATTGAATAATCCTGAGCATGAACAATAAAAACGACTAATGATTGTAGTTTGTATTTAATGGTTGCAAATGTGGAATGTTTCCAGCTATAGTAGACCAGATTTTGATTAAAGGGCTATTTATTTAAATAACTAATTGGCATTTTTTGTGCTAAGGAATGTCATTTTGTCATAGCAAGTAAAAATAAAATAAAACTTAATTTAATTAATCATTTTGAATGAAACATTAAGAAGTTCAGCACTGACTTGATTGCAGAGTATTGGGATGATATGTAACTCTAATAAGAGGCTGCCACATTTGTTGCCATCTTGGGTGAATCAGGAGAAACTATAAGTCGTTATTCATTGAAGATAAAATAATAAACATGCCACAATGCCTTTACAGACTCGTTATACTGTACTTCTGTCCACTCTACTCTTTTCATTTTCAGCATGGATGGAGGCGAATTATTCAGGCATATCCAAAACAGAGGGAATCATGCATTTACAGAAAGAGGTAAAGAGATTATTTTTTTCTTACGCAAGTTAATGTTACAATCCTTCATCCTGGCAGTCACAGTGGTTTTAATACTCCAGATTCTGCAGGAAGCAAACACCCATTGAGCTGCTACTTTGTAAGAAATACAACAGAAGAGCAACTGGTGTATCTGTTTACAGTGCAGCCAAGAAAGCCAATGTTGAATTGATGAAGAAGTTAATTAATTAATGCCTATTTTCGACCACACCATGATCAACTGTGTTCTCATGTGTTGCTGCTCATAGCTGTAACCGCACAGCCTGTTGCTGTTTATCTACGGTGGTGGTTTGAATTATGGAGCCTGTCCTCCACAGAATAACAACCACACAAAATTATGACTCATGTTTACGTTTATTGTGGCCTCTAGTGGCCTTCCCGTGTGAAACGATATTGATTTGTTTTTTAAAATACAGTTAAGTAGTGTTACCTACGTTACCTTCGTAGTGTTAGCGTTAGCTACCCAGCTATATTAGTCTTAAAGGTGTTGAAAGCCCCCCATACCCCCTAACCCTTTACCCTAATCTTCCCAGGGGTGTGTGCCTAAACCTGCCTAAACCTGTCAGTGATTGTATGCGTGTTGACCTGTGAACCAAACAGCTCAGCTGGGATTCACAATTGCCGTTGTGGGAGGCATGGACAAAAGCTACTGGTAGGGGCGCTATTTTAGGATATGCTCATTTGAGTCATATTTGTAGGTCGGTTAAAACTACCTATGTTGTCGTTTAGGTTGGAGGACTGGAATTGACCCTTCGCTAAGCCACGCCCCCTTAGTTACTGTTGCTAAATCCAACAAACTGTCGGACCTTTCGGAACTGTCTATAACTGCACTCCCTGGATAAATATATTGTCTAATTTTTGGAAAAAACGATCCCAGAGAGAAGCAGACAGTTTTGCAGTTGCAATGATATTAAGGATCAACACTGTTACTGTACAGCTGGGTAGGTCTCTATTCAATATTACAATCATTAAAAACCACAAACAGTAGGGCTATATAACATTACATTCAGTAGCAAGTTAGCTAACTAACATTACATGAGGAACAATCCACAGTCTACATTATTCTGGATTTGTTTTAGGTTTTGGAAAGGGAATAAATCATACTTCTATCAACCTCTCGGGGTAGTGACTGTAATTATTACAAGTGCCCCAGGAACAGCGTTTGACCATATCTTTGAAAAATACAGCAAAAACACCTTAGAAAACGACTCCTTTTGCATACCAGTCAATGGAGCGCAACCTTGAAAGTGTTGGACCTCAGTTAGAGAGAGTCCTGTACAGAGCTGTGATTGACCAGCTGCGTATTCGGGGTGTGGCTTAGCGAAGGGTCATTTATAGCTCTCAGAAGGGGGCCGGCTCCCATTGTTCATTTTAGAGTCACATTACTAAGCTACAGTAACAGCTCACTGTGGCTGCTTTTTCTTGTTCTGTAACTCCCTGTGCTTCACAATAAACGTCACCTATGTCTCGCCAGAATGCTTTTAATGTATAGCACTTCACATTTTTAAAAGTATTAGGTAGTAACTAAATATACTTCTGAAGCCGTTTTCATTGAGATAACAGCTTAAACACTTAGTCAATAAATAAATAAATAAATAACTAAATCTGAAATTCATCGGCCCCCCTTTTGCAACAATCAATTGGTTAAATTTGCTGAATTCTTGGTCATTTATGGTATTTATCTGAACAATACAAGCAATCTGAATATATTTTGGGAATTCTTTTGGGCATTTTCACTATTTTCTCAATTTTTTATGATTTAGCAGTTAATTGATTAATCTAGAAAATCAATCTATATTAATTGATAATACAAATAAATTTTAGTTGAAACCCTAGAAATTACAGTGATGCTGGATCATATGGAAGCTGTATTTCCTATGAATCCTTTGTGCGTTTGAGGGCAATATGAATCCTGTACAAGAATGGCGGACACTAACACTAGTGACTATGTAGAGAGGTAATTAGAGAATGTAAATATATTGAATGGGTATTCTTTCAAGCCAACCACAAAATAGAGTTGAAAACAGGTTTTGATTTCATGAAAATCTTAACTTTAACCATCTCAAAATGTACTGCTGAATGTATAGTTTAATGTGCATCTGTCCGTTTTAACTCCATTATGTCCATGTCATTTCTCTTTACTTCCTTTTTACTCAGAGGCCTCTGACATCATGAAAAGTATAGGAGAAGCAATACATTTCTTGCATTCCATCAACATTGTTCACAGAGATATCAAGGTAATACTTCACTGTATATATTTGAGACAAAACTTGCAATGGAAAACAAAATTTGCAACAGTGGTATGTCTAATGGCAAGTAACATGAGATCATTCTTAAAGGCGGTGAGTAAAATTGTTATTATGCTTATGTGCTTTGGTTTTAACTGACAATTAAATGTCCTGCGCCTGTCAAAGAGCCCATATTTAAGGCCAAGTAACACAATCAGGAGAAAACAAGAGGACACAAGAGATATAAAAACTAAAGACCTCCAGGCTTCTGTGCATATGAAAATCTAATTGTTTGCAAATGTAGAGTAAGCAAACAATGAATGGCAGCTGAAATAGGCAGATTGAAAAGCCACTAATGGCAAACAAGCAGTTGTTTCCATGAAGAAGTCCAACCCTGGAAGTTTTTATTTTTGTTTGCCATCATTATATAAAGAGCTTTTGTTTAGGTTCATGTTTGCTATTTATTTTATTTCTGCTTTTAAAATTCTTTGCTTTTCTTGTTGTTGATTCTGTTCTCCAGATGCCTGATCACTGTTGCTGTCTCTTTCAGCCAGAGAACCTGCTGTACACCTCCAAAAGGTCAGATGCTGTCCTCAAGTTGACGGACTTTGGGTTTGCCAAAGAAATCATCACTTTAAACTCTTTAGCAACACCATGTTTCACCCCCTACTATGTTGGTAAGAACATGCAACATGTTATCTTGAAAGTAATTCTATCAGGTTGGAGACTCACTAAAGGAGCTAGTGTGTCAGGCTTGCAGACTGATCTCTGCTACTTATGTATATGCGTGCATCTATGACACGACATCTCCATCTCTCTCGAGTAAGCTCTGTGGTGTTTTGCTGTGGTTTTGTTTTGATGAATGTCATATTTAATTGAGTTCCTGTGAGATTAAATCTCCTGATGTGATAGCCAAATACCAGCAGGAACAACTGTCAGCAGGATGCTCCCAGCTATACGCATTTTTGTGTTTGCAAGACAAACATCTCTGTGTGTATGTGTGTGTGTGTGTGTGTGTGTGTGTGTAATGCAACATATTTTAAAAGCCTTACATGTCTTGGGACTGCACAGAGCTGCATTTTCTTTACACTGTCTCTGGATTTTCACACTGTCGATTTATTACGTGTTAATAACCAATTTTTTAATCGGCACATTTTCCCCATGTGCTTCTTGAAACTTAACTTGACCCAGTGTTAAGTGCTTTCCCTGAGGGCATTTAACAGTAAAAAAAAAGGGGGGGAAAAAGAAAGAAATCTGCAGACATTTTGCCTCCTGTGAAAAGTGGCCAGACTAATGCGGGTTATGAGGTTACATCCTGTGAACCAGTTGGAAAATCCTGTATACTTTAATGACCTGTTCTGCAGTTTCTTGCATCCATCTGCCTTTTATGTACAATTATCAAAGGCATGAAATGTGAAACAGAAGCGATTTCTCCAATTCAATTTAAATCATTTCTCTTGACACCGTGACAGCTCCAGAGGTTCTCGGTCCAGAGAAGTATGACAGATCCTGTGACATGTGGTCTCTGGGTGTCATTATGTATATCCTGTAAGTCAATCAGTGTGATGTATTTGTTGCATTATATAGTATATATAGTATTATACTATTTTTATGCAATGATGCCTCGCTTCTCTAAATTATTGTTTCTTCTAATTATATGAACCATGTTTTCATCAGGCATTTTGTTCTGTCTTACAGGCTTAGTGGATATCCTCCCTTTTTCTCACATCATGGTCTAGCAATATCCCCAGGAATGAAAAGACGGATCCGTAATGGGCAGTATGAGTTCCCCAACCCAGAGTGGTCTGATGTGTCTGAGGAAGGTGAGGGGGAGGTGTGTCGGAAATTGAAATGACACCTATTTATCAGATTGCACATTTGTCATGTAAATGCTCCCTTCCCTTTTACTTTTTGTTTCACTTTTTGTACATCCTCATCTTTTTTTTGTCAATTAATAGCACTTTCAACCTTTTTCCCAAGTTGTGAGTTTGGACAGACTCTATAAACAGAACTCCAACGATGGTACTATTCTGTGGCTTCAATACTGAAGCACTGTCTTGTTAAAATGTGTCTGCAGTATATGAATTGATCTGATATGATTGAGGCAGATCTGATTGATCTAACATGATGTGAATCTGATGTAATATTTTTATTTAATTTTCATGTAAATATTGTCTTAGGAATTTAAATTGAAGACATTTGGAAGCGAAAACTGTCCCACATAACTGCAGCTACTGTATGAAGAAATCAGTAGAGTAAGAAATATGTCTCATGTTAGGGGGGGACACATATGAACATTGAATTATGATTATTTCCTGTTTCAGCTAAGCAGCTGATCTGCTACTTACTGAAAACTGAGCCCACCCAGAGAATGAGCATCACCGAGTTCATAAACCATCCCTGGATTAATGTAAGCGTCTCCCTTTAGGCTTGAATCTGTTTGAGCAACTGCTGGTTTTGAAAGATGTTTGTGAGATTTGGTGAACGCTTCTCCATATTCTCTCACCGCTGCAGCAGTCGGTCGAGGTCCCACAAATGCTTCTCCACACCAGCCGCGTGCTGCACGAGGAACAGGATGTCTGGGAGAAGGTTAATGTAAGTGTGGGTTCTGTTCGTATGTGCTAGTTATTTAGACGCACAGAAACAGATCTTGAGCATGGGTTTGTTAGTTAATTCTTTTATATTTTATGCAAATATTGTATGTTTTATGCATACCCGACTCTGTCACTGAACAATAAAATCCATATAATTACTTAAAACATGATGTGGATAGTATGCATGCTGTTTCACCTCGGTTGTGTTTGATAAAAGTGATGTTGTTTTGTTACTATTAGGAGGAAATGACAAATGCCCTGCAAACAATGAGAGTGGACTATGAACAAATTAAAATCAAAACTATTGAAGACTCAACTAATCCTCTGCTCTTGAAGAGAAGAAAGAAAAGTAAAAACTTGGCCACGCAGGCCAGTGCTAGTGAAGTAAAGACTTTTTAAGAGGTATTCAGTTTCACACCAACTCACACAAAAAAGCCTTTAAGAGGAGCTTTAGGGAAGTTGTCAGGTGACTCTAAATTATATTTTTATAGTACGTTTTAAGTAAATTATTTTATTTTAAAACATGAAATGCACCTAGGCATTTGGGTAAATGTGCTTTAAGGACTTTTTTTCTATGCATTGAAAAGTATTCCGTATGTGCACTAAGGCTTTTTGTATGTGTTGCACATTAGGACAGTTTTTATTATTCTGCTGTAAATACTCAGCGAGTCATTTGAGTGAGCTTTGTTGGCATCAACTTATACGCTGCTTTTGGGTTGTTTTCTGTCTCTGAAGTTTTTCTGTTCTGTTTCTGTTCAAAACCCTGTTTGCCTTGAGGATATTGTTGAGAAAGTTTGCCAGCATCATTCACATGTGTCTGTTGAATGACCACTACCACAAATTTTGTTTTGTATGTGATGTCACAAGTATTTCTCCTTACCACAAAATAGGAGTTTTCTTGCCACATTGTCATAGTGCATTATTTAAAACTTGCCATGTGTAGCAATAATCATGCTTGCTATGGTTATGAGATGGGTGATAATTGTGTTTGATTAACTGTGCTGCTAAGCGGACACTTGCTTCTGTAGTGTTAATTTTCTTCAAAGCACTAATATAAAAGTAGTGCATGAAGTCTGTTGTGTGAGACACGGAAAAATGGATGGCACTAAACTTTTAGATCAAGGGAGGAGTGACCAGATGTACAATAGAAAATGATGCATGCCACCATTATCCTGTATGTTTTTTGCCCTAGATTAAATCTCTCAATCTCCTCTGTGGTTTTGTGTGTTGTTTCAGAAAAGCTGCAAAATGTGTAATGATAAAATAGACGTGCTAGTTATGGATATGTAAGAATAATCAGGATGTAACATCTGGTGAATACAAGTTAAAGTTCATTTTTAATGTCTACTACATTTGTCACCTAAAGACTATAACCATGTGTGGAAGGACAGGTAGCTACATTTAACAAAGTTATAAAGTTAAACAAAAAAGAATAAAAGGCTTGAAGTGATCGTGGGATGCTCCTACGGCCCTGTTAGGAAGACCTGAGGACTGGGTGGCAATCTGCAACATTTTAAATGCAGAGAATGTTGGCTAAAGGATAAATATCATGCATCTTAATGTCTAAAAATGTTAGCATGCTCAAGTTAGCATCAACATCATTATGCTAGCATTAAACTCAAGAGATATTAACTTAATTATTTAGAGGTGTGTTGTCATGAACTGAAGTGACACATTTGAAACCATGAAACATGTATGTCTCCCAAATTTCATGGCAGTCCATCCAATAGTTTGTCAAGAAATATGTAGAACCATGGTGCTATGGCTAAAAATGCAGCAGGGTCTGTTAAACACCATTATAGTCCTTTAAATTGGATATATGCATGTACTGTACTTGAAAATCACCACTGTCTCTGATCTTCTCATTTTAAGCAATTCCCAAGCAAAATTATACAATTGTTTTAAATTACATTTATCTGATGCTTTTATCCAAAGTGACTTACAATTGCTATACATATCAGAGGTCGCACACCTCTGGAGCAACTAGGGGTTAAGTGTCTTGCTCAGGGACACAATGGTGGCTGTTTCACACCAAAGGCAAGCATCTTATCTATGCGCCACCACCACCCATTAAATTAGTATTTTTTTCTTACAATCCACACCATCTGTAGTCTTTAGTGAAATCCATTCATGACAAAATAAATACTTTCGGCTTTACCTCATGGTACAGCTCACAACAGCAGAGTGGCTCCAGACTGAACGTTTATTGTTTGCTGTCATGTAATTGGGACTATTTAGGATTTTCAGCTGTAGTTGGATCTGTGAATAAATGACACCCACACAGAATGTTTTTGATTAAACATAATGTTCTAATTTCAAGATAATATTCCCAGCTTTTGCATCCTGTTTTAATTTAGACTTTCTTTGTGGCGCATTCAGAGACACACACTAAGCTGCCTTTCCATAAACCAAATATTAATGTTGAGTGTATAAAAGAATTAAAGGGAAATTTGTACATTGTTTGAACATGAATGAATGATAAATCCAACATATTGGTTTTCAAAGGAACATCATTTTCCTGCATCCTTTTTAAATGGTACTGTCTACCTTGGATGGAAACATACATTTGTGAGGGGGGGATTTCCATTTATAATTAATGTTGACAGCACGGTTTGAATGTAACATCAGTTGAAAATACTGTTACATATTTTGCCCAAAAAATGTTGTATGTTGTGACAAAAAAAGGCCTTTATGCAAAAGAGTTCCATCTGTGTATCCTCAGGTTCCCTCTCCTCTCAAAGGGGATGTAATTGTTTGGTCATTAAGGTCTATTACTTGCTGAACAACTTCCATTTTCAAATCAGCATGTCTTACTACTTCCTCAAAGGGGCCGGGAAGCAAATTCAGCGGGGAGAGAAAAGGCAAATCGTAATCCCTGAAACTCTGTCTCTAATATTCGTGCTCCAGTCGAGGACATCAATGGCGAGGCCCTTTCTGAAGACAATCTGCGGGGTGATAATGGTGTTCTTCTCTCAGCATGCTCCAACACAAACATATGTTAACTTTTTCTACAGTTTAAACACTGTAATTGACAAAAGTAGTGAGTACCTGAAGAAGGCAGGAACAGAGAAAGGAAGAAAAATTCTTTTAAGGAGGATGATTGTGGGTTTGTCATACTTTGCACATGTTGAAACATATAGTGTATGATGACATAGGCTGCAACTTCATTGTTAGATTTTGTTTTATCTGACAAACACACCGCCAGCGTCCAGTCTGGTTCATTAAATTTTCTATACGTAACGCCCCACCCGCTCCATAACCTCCACAAAACAACAATAAACAACAAGCCAGACTTCGAGTGGCTGTGCTAATGATAAGGCATGACACAGTAAGGGAAAACAAGGTTGTTAAAAAGCAGATGTCTGTACCGGTTCACAGATGGGATTGATATTGACATGTCTGGAGGTGATATGTTGTCGTTTCTACATGTAAGTGGAAAAATGTATGTGCTCTAATGAGAGTGGGTGGTTGGGGCTGTGTAGAGACGGGGTATTTACTCTATAGCACCAACATATTCCACTCAGTCCAAGAAAGACACAGGCAACGTGAGCAAGGGAGGAGGCATCGACTCTGATCAACCAACTGGTAGGTATACTGTACCTACTGTACATTTAAAAAGTGGAGCAGATCAGTCGTAAATTACTAAACCAGTGTAATTCAGTGTTAGTTGCATAACATTTCATGCTATCAGTGTATTACAGATTTGGGAGTTGTTAGGGTAACATCCTATATTTGACTTCATATAAACTTTATATTACATCTTTTTCTTCCTGGATTTTCCATCAGTGATCATGCGGACAGTGTTGCTCCTCCTCATAATGGGAGTAGTGGATCTGAGCATCGGCCAGCATTACAGCCAGTTTCAGTGGCTGTCCCATCTGCGAGGGCGGCGGCGGAATGCCGGCTGGTGGGCCGATGACGTGGACTGCCCCCTGGAGTGCGATTGTCCCTCTACCTACCCCACAGCTATGTACTGTCACAGCCGCAACCTTCAGCATGTTCCCTACATCCCCTCACATATTAAGTACGTCTACCTGCAGCATAACCAGATCACAGGCATTCAGGATGGGGTGTTTGACAACGCCACTAACTTGGTCTGGGTTGTACTGTTTCACAACCAGCTCAACTCAGACAAGATCGGCAAGAACGTCTTCAGCAAGCTGAAGAACCTCGAGCGGCTCTTCTTGGATCACAATGACCTCATACGTGTGCCGTCCAACTTGCCCAAGTCTATCACGGACCTGCGACTCGGCCACAACAAGATCTCAAAAATCCTCTCCAGCTCATTTGAGGGGATGGCTAACCTCATCACCCTTCAGCTCCAGGCAAATGTCATAGAGGACGTTGGAGGTGTGTTCAAGGGACTGAAGTCTCTGACTATGCTGGATATGAGAAAAAACAGGCTGAGGAAAATCCCTGACAACCTCCCTGAGAGGATGCAGCAGCTCTACCTGGAGTTTAATAACATAGAGAGTGTGCCGACGGGCTTTCTTACCAAGTATCCCAAACTGCAGTTTGTCCGGTTGGCTCACAACAAGCTGACAGATAAAGGACTTCCATCCAATGTCTTCAATATCAGCACGCTGGTTGAGCTAGATCTTTCTTTTAATAAACTGGAGAAGATCCCTGTTGTCAGTAGGAACCTGGAGAACCTTTATTTACAAGCCAATAAGATCAAAGGTATGGACACTCTGTTACTTAAGATGTCTTGGCGCAACAACATGTAGTGTTCCTAAACATTGAAAGGATTTTTAAGTCCCATCGGAAATATAAGAGCGATGTATACTATACCACAAAGAACTCTTATTATTAATAATACATTTTTTTTGAGTGTAACCAATCTTAAAATGGGTAAAACTTTATTTGAATGTTTTGATAATAGTTATCATCACTTAACTTTAACTTTTTAATTGTGTACCTTAAATACCATTCTGTACATGGACCCTGCAGCCATGGTTTACAGTGCTGAGCTGTAATAATAATATATTGCAATGTAATGCATTGTATATTGCCAGTTATTCCTTTTTTTCTCATTTAAATTCAGATACACAAGAATCTACTTAGTTCAGATTTAACAGATTTAGTTATAATTGGGTTGGCTGGCACAGAAGGAGACACACTGTGTCGCACACTCAGTTATAAAACTGAGCGATAAACACACAAATCTCAAAAAACTTTAATGACACAGATGTGGGTGGAAAGCATAAGCTTTTGTGCCCTTTTGACCCTCTTAACATGACCCAGTACATTTTGTAAATTAGGTTGCAGAATAAGTTTGAATGAAGTTTGATAGTTTGTTTGTTGGAAAACGTATTTGATTTGAAGTAGCTGATCTTATTTTCCTCTTGTGCGTCCTCTATACACAAGTGCCCTTTAGCCCAACTTTAGCTTATCATGTGCGCCCTCCAGCGATTTAATGCACTCCAGTTACTTGTGTGATTCTGTACTCAAGTGAAGTTCAGACATTCACTAGCTCACCCCATATTGTTTGTAGCTGCCTTGTTTTCACATTACCATTTAACAGTATTTGGAAGTTCAACATCCTCCAGCCTCTAACAACATATGGTATTTTTAAAGTCCTTAAAAGCCGTGTTGGATTTGTTGCCCTTTTGGTCACGCCTACCTGTGATGTAACATTGCACTCTTGGGGTGGGAACTGAGCGTGCAGCAAGGCGAAATTTTCAACCAGTAGATGACAGCAAAAGCAGGATTTTTCTGTGTGTCAGACTTTGAAAAGACGCCCTTCCCTTGAACTAGGGGTTTTCCATAAACACTTTCTTCTGTGGAAGCTCATACACAATATGAACTTACAATAAAAAACTCTAATAAAAATTTACACTGTAAAACAAAAACCCAGAATAGAAAGTGTAATCAAACAAGATAATTTATTTATTAATATGATATTGTTACTCAGTGTCTTCCAGAGAAATATGAGAACCAACTCTGGCTTTCTTGCACAGACATACTTAAAGTCCCTGGAGGAATATGCAGCAGTACTTATTTTCGGGATGTGGATACACTGGTTCTTGCTTGACATGACTCACAGGCCTCCCTTCATATTTCTCTCCCCTCATGTCTTTCAGAGTTCTCCCTGGGCAGTTTCTGCAGTACAACCGACATGACAAACTTCTCCAAGCTGAGAATGCTGCGTTTGGATGCCAATGAGATCAGTGCCAAAGCCATACCTGCGGAAGCAGCCTACTGTTTGCGGCATGTTTCCTTCATTGATGTATAGGGCTTCCTGATCTCTCGCACCGATTTGTCTCAACTCATCCAGGGTGTTGCTCCATCTGCAACACCCCAGCCTCTTGTCACATGTCAACATGTCACTCTATTTACCTTATACTGCTCACAGTCCACTGTATTAATACATGTTTGAGATCGTGTATTGTTAAAATTGTTATGAGATCTACTTTTATTATTCCAAATGATTAAACAGTTCCAGTATTAGTCAACGGGAAATACCACAGCTGTATAATCATGGATCCAGATGACAGGCATATGGATGACAGAGGCCAGATGACTGACAACAAACGAGATGAGATTATCAGTTCCAGTATTCTGGCAAAATAAGTATAAATACATTGTAGATGATGACAACTATTTCGCTTTGTGTCATGTCTGGCAAAGTATAAACTCTTAAACTGCCAATCATTGGTGTGAGATTCAGTTTGGATCTTTGCCTCCACCATGTGGCACAAGGTGATAAAACAGCAGGATGAGCAGCAATGATCCTCATTATTAGTTGGCCACTTTAGAAAATTATCTGTGATGCACATTAAAATGTATTTACTGTTTGATTGTGCTGGGTGTTACTATATCTATAAAATATCTATAGAATACTTTTAGTTTAAAGGGAGTTCATGATTATTCCTTCAACATTGAAAGCTGTGTGATCAAGTGTTTCTGATTATAACGGTTGAAAAACATGTATTCCTACTCAAATGAGCCTACTCAAAGATAATCATGCATCAGTTTCAAGACTGATAAAACTGTATCTAATAATCTAATATTCCCCCCCTTTTACCCCCCAAGTAACTGTGTTTTGGTAACCTATTATTAATATTGTACAGTATGTCACAGAAAAACATGGGCTTGGCAGACCGATGAAGTCATTAAGTATGGATTTATGACATGAGAATGGACACTATTCAGTTTGTATCCACTTAGCCGGAAAACTATGAATATTTGTTTAAAGTGATTCTTTTATCTAGGAATCCACCCTTTTGTACCCAGTACTACAGCTGAAGAAAAATTAATGTTTCAAGAGTTTTTTGTCCCTCTAATGTAACTGTTGACAATGATATATTTTTAGAAACAACAACATGTTCTGTTTCCTCTAATTTGAAGGTAAAAAAGACAGAGAGGTTGGGAGAGAGAAAAAGGGCGGAATCCCTCTTGACAATTCTAACTGGTCTGAAGCAGTTCCCACATATTTATTGTTGAAGACAACTTGCCTTTTCATCTTCCACAGCTGCCTTTAATCCTCTGCAGAAAGGCACTAAATTGAATTATAGAAATACTTTCCTTGTTTTGTAATGGAGCAATGTCTGGGGATGAAGAATGGATTACTGCCAGTGCAACAGTGGTTTGCGCACTGATAAGCGGTAGCCTGTGAAATTAAGTGTGTTATAGATCATGTTATATTGCAGACTGCATGTGGTTCTGCAGAGGCTGTGGGGTAGGGCTGTGTCTTTTTTTTTCTCATCTTCCTACACAGACTCTTCAAAAACAAAATAGAGGCCAGCACACATGTGGGAATCAGGATTTACTGATGTGGTCCTCTCCGAGATGCACAAAATGTTTCACTTTGTGGGGAATTGTCCAATTCTTCTAAAACGCAGACATTATGCAATGTATTATTATACAACATTAGGCTGGACATGGATGAAAGTTATGACAACATTAGGGAATGCACATGCACTTCCCTCTCTCTTAGTGTTATCCTGTTATTTGCCACTGCCACTCTGTAATGATTAAATGTCATGCATGCATATCAGTAAACTGTAGTAGCACGTTATTCCCACCAAATCCTGTCACGCCCCGGGCAGTGAAGACATTTCTTGTGAAGCTGCAATAGCGACTGGTGTGTATCTGTATCTGTATCGTTGCTCCCTTTGCCAGTAACAACAGTTCAGTGTGTTTGACCAATAACAGAGTATTCTCCAGAGTTCATGTTGAAGCTATTTACACTGTTATGCAAAAAAATGGATATACACATTTTTTGATGATAGAAATTGGCCGCATGAAGACTGTGTATTGACCAGCGGTGTAGGCCGATAATGAAGGGAAGTCAACTGCTTTCCAAAGCAGTGGGAAAGACCGTTTTGGCAAGGATAAAAGCATTTTTGACTCGTTATAAATTGTAAAGTCAAAGAGAAAGCTGGCTCTCTAGTGGCCGAAATCCTTTAATGAGGTCATCACCTGCTCTTTAGATGGGATTTCATTTTGTTCATATATGAATGCATTGGTAGCTGGACAGCTGGAGAGCATTATATTTTGGATTTTAGTATTGATGGAACTTTTTATTATCAATATGGAGATTGAATAGAGTCAAACTAATAAATAACTTGTGTTTGGCAAACATCATTACAAACGGTTAAGTGGTAGCAACTGGAGACACATTATTCAACATACATAACTAGTGTAAAAATAAAACTTTTTTTTAGTGAACTTGAAAAGATATCTGCAATAGATAATACATTAACATAATATACATAGCATATTATTCGAAATAAGGTCCATCTTTGCTCTCAGTCAAAGCGAAGCTTCCGATTAAATAGGTGAGCATGATACATTAGACACACAATACTGATATGAAAACATGTTCATAAAAGATAAAATGTACAGCTTCACAAGTGCTCCATCTGCTCTTGCAGTGATGCGCTCTTTATCGCCTGAGGAGAGACAAAAAAGAACATAAAGATGTATGTGCACTGTAGTCATACTTTACATTGAAGGTGACACATGTGTTTGTTTAAGACACTTAATCTGTTCCAGCTCCTGCTGTTTAAGTCCATAAAGCTTAGAAGGTTAGAGGGATACTCACGCTATTGTGGCTCCATCTCTATCTCCTGCAGGTCTCTGCTTTAAACCAGATGACAGAGGTATGCATTAGGATGAGTTCAATAAACATGGAAAGACTGACCATTTTTACTTTTATAGTTGTTCTTACCTTGAGTTTGTATATGATCTTGATCTGTGAGGGCTGTGAGTTTTCTGTTTTGGAGAAAAAAAACTTAAAAACCAATAGGACACACATGGTGAATACCTAGGGTGACTGACAGAGTAACAGACGCACAGCTCATGTCTTCCTTTCTGACTTTGAAGTAACTAAATCATTTTGCTAGAGCTCTGACTGATGACACACAGGGTTGTGTGCAAAGATTGAGACCAAAAACAACTGTATCCATATTTTGGTAAAAATATGACAGAGTTGGAACACATTGGAAATCTAAAACCCATTATAACTGCTATGATTCCAAGCTGCACCACAAACTCTGTTCTCCTTGATTGAGTAAACTAAAAAAAACAGCCACCTCTCAAAATTACAGGAGAGCATTTCACAGGCAAAAGATACATTCTGGGTGGAGTTTCACTTTAAAGTCCTTGGCAATGAGATGTTTACATGATATTGTCTCTCCCCTGTAGACAGATAAAAGCTAGACTGGTTCACAGGTCAGTTCCAAGAAGGTGAATCTATCTTTTGAAATATTTTGTATTTTCAGTGTTGCACTTTGTGATTTTAACACACTGCTTCCTGCTGCAGGGAAACTGCGCAGTAGTGATGGGAATTCCAGGTCTTTCGAAAGAGACTGTTTGGCTCCGGGTACTGAAAAGAGCTGTATGTTTGCCTCCTGTTTGGACCTTCATGCAGTTACAGGCTTTTCTCCAGTAAAGCTCTGATATCAACACTGCCATACTGCCCAAAAGGTGTGTAGGTGGACAGAGCTAGTGTGTGTCAGGGACAGTCTATAGTTTACAGCTAAGTTGTAAACACTCACCCAGGGCTCAACTCTTGTTACAACCTATACATTGCAGCAAAGGCTTGACAATGTTTGACCATCTGTCTTTGAATGAGACACTTAATTGAACTAAACTGACTCTTTTGACTTTGCAGGACTTCTTTTTGCACACATACTGATACAATAAAACAGACAAGCTGCACACTGTTTTAATTAATTACACAGCTCATTTAGCTGACTGCGTTTAAAAAATATTTGTATGTATGCATGTATAAACACCATTGGATATTATTTGAGGTAGCAAGGCAAATGATAATATTTGCTAATCCAGGTTTCACTGTGAAAAAAAACACGCAACTGACACAAACATGCCGATTCTACAGTTTTGAAATGGAATTTTCGCTGAAATGCATCTGCCTCATGTAAGGTGTCATTGTCCATTTCCTCATACAGTGTTTTAAGCCCTTGTATCCTACTCACAGAGCACACATATTGATATTGATAAAGGTGAATTAAAGTTAGTTCAGCGCTGAGGCCTTAGGAGCAGTTGGCAGGGCAACATTTATACATGCATTGTGGCAAAAAGTAAGCGAGGCAGGAAGTAGAGTGAGCAGGGTAGACAGACAAAAGCTTACAGGAGAAAGCATGGCCAGCAGCCTAAGAGCATCATCCCAGAAGTGGAGAATTACACACCTCATCAAGCACTTTATTCTGTATACCCTCTATCAATGTCTGTGCATTCACTGCCAGCAATGCATCATCCCTCCTACTCTGCTGCGCACATTATGTCGCTGCATGCAGTCAGTTAAATAGGGACATGCAACACAGTCTCACTCCCTACTCGTCAAATGTCTGACGCATGGTCAAGGCCCTTTGTCGTCGCTTTTTAAAGACTTGGGTAGCCCTTTTGCATCAATTATTGACGTTTAGGGATCCACAGTCAAGTTAGCAATGCTTAGCAACAATAAATATGCAATATCCGGTTACACTTTCAAGATAAAACGTATAATTAAAGTCGTGAAACGTTGCAGTTTCGTTAGGTTTAGGCACAGAAAGTACTTGGTTGGGTTTAGGCAACAAAACTACTTGGTTAAGGTTAGGAAAAGATCATGGTTTGGGTTAAAATAGCTATATATGTCAATTAAGACTTAAGTTAACTAACGTTAATGTCAATTTACCTCACTCGCCTAAATAAAAACATTTAATGTTTTGTTTCGCACGGGACACAAACCCTGTTCCCCTTCGAGGGAACTCGAACTGCGTCGGTTACGACACTATGGGAACGCCTCTAGGCGAAGCAGGTCTGAACGTGAATGAAATCACTCCAATCCTATTGGCCTGTTGCTAGAACGGTAAGGTGTGACAGAATAACCGGAGGAGTATAAAGCACACCTGTACACACTCATCATTAGCTTTTTTCTATTCAGCAGGCGCTCTGTATGTTGTTTGAAGAAAGCTCCAGTCCTACAAGCAGTGTGTCTTACCTGAAGAAGAAGTCTACCAGCATGTCCGGCAACCAGATGTACAGAAGGTGTGTTTTTTCTTGCCCTCGGTACATCACGGATGGAGATTCTCATGAGATGTGTTTCTCATGTTTGGGGATGGAGCACGCACGGGCAGCTCTCGAGGGGGCTGCCTGCGCCCGTTGCGAAGCCCTTTCCGTGCGGGTACTGAGGTACAGCATGGCTCTCTTTCCGAGGATGGCCGGATGTGTTTTCCCCGTGGCGCGGGCCCTGCGGCCGCTGAGGCGGCCCTGCGGCTTCACTCATGGGTTCACAGCGTGATCTGTCGGAGGCTTTCGGGACGGCTGAGGCTTTTTCCCGACCTTCATCCGCTGGCTCCGACGATTCCTTTCCTCGTTCGGGAGCCCGTTCTCGGCTTCTCCCGCTCGCAGTTTGGATCCAGAGACGCTGCAGCAATCCGACTCCGAAGAGGCGGACGTGCTCAGCGCAGTGGACGATATACTTCCGGGTGTCGGGGCGGCGTCATCTGGGCGCGCCCGACTATGACGTGCTGCTGGAGGTGGTGACTAGAGCCGTGGCTAAGCTCAACATCAACTGGCCACGGGAGGAGCAGACACCACAGGCTAGTGGTAGCTTGATGGAAGGTTTCTTAAGCACCACACGCCACCTCCACGCCGGTCTCTGCCATTCTTTCCTGATTTACATGATGAACTGAGTAAATCATGGGGCAGACCCTTCTCTACATGGCTTTCCACACCCCGATCACTGAACTACAGTAATGTGATGGGGGTTAGGGACCGTGGTTATGGGAGGATGCCTCGGGTGGAGGATGAGCTTGCGAGCTATCTCTCCCCTCGACTTGCGTCCTCCCTGGAGAAGCCGGCATTACCATCCAAACCATGTCGCACCACATCCACGCTTGTGGGGAAGGCGTACATGGCAGCGGGCCAGGCAGGTGCGAGCTTGCACACCACGGTGCTTCAAGCCTACCAAGCCAACCTGCTACAGGAGATGGTTCAGAGGGGGGGTCCCTCCGAGGAAGATCTGGCGGAGCTTCGCAGAACCACGAAGCGTTAGACGCAGTGCGAAGCGTTCCGCCAGTACCTCCCTCGCCGGTCTGGACCCAAGGCAGCTGAGGCTGCCAGGCGTAGGTCCCTTCCCTCTACGAGCTCCTACGGAGAGGAGGGAAGCAGAGTGTCGCTTCTCGGGGGCCCCCCGAGGAGCTGGGGCAGCGAGACGGCGCTCTCACCCTCAGCCGTCTGAGAGATCTGAGGACCGTCATCCAGTCCCGACGGAGCTCAGGGAAGACCGGGGAAGGGGAGGGCTGCGTGCCCTATTTTGGATCTGCGGGTTCTAACCGGTCTCTGAGGAGATTCAGGTTAAAGATGCTCATCATCCCCGCCACCGTGACGCACATCCAATCTGAGGATTGGTTCGTCACGATAGATCTAAAGGACGCCTATTTCCAGGTCTCCATCCGTCCTTCTCACAGGAAGTTCCTGAGGTTTGCCTTCGGGGGTGTGGCTTACCAGTATCGGGTTCTTCCATTCGGCCTGGCACTTCCCCTAGCACATTCACCAAGTGTATGGATGCAGCACTGGCCCCGCTGAGGCTCCGGGGCATCCGGATTTCAACTTCATCGACGACTGGCTCATCCTAGCCCAGTCTCGAGAGTTGGCGGTTCGGCATCGAGATGTCGTTCTGGCTCGTCTGCGGCGTTTAGGGCTAAGGCTCAACGCAAAGAAGAGTGTTCTGGCGCCCACCCAACGGGCTACGTTCCTAGGGGTTGCATGGGATTCGACAACGATGCGGGCACAATTGTCTCCGGCACGTGTCGACACCATATTGGCTGCCGTGAAAGGGGTGAAGTTAGGCCACGCCATCACTATGAAACACTTTCAACGAGTGTTGGGTCTCCTGGCAGCTGCGTCCAGCCTAATACCATCTGGACTGCTGCACATGAGACCCCTGCAGTGGTGGCTAAGGAACAAGGGTTTTTCCCCGAGGGGAATCCTCTCCGTCTGGTTTGGGTTACGCGCAAGTGTCTTCGTTCCCTATCAGTTTGGAAGGAAACTTGGTTCCTGTCCCAGGGGCCCGTGCTGGGAGGGTCTTGTCGCCGGCTGGTTCTTTCGACAGACGCCTCCCTCACGGGCTGGGGCGCAGTCATGGACGGCCGCTTTGCAAGGGGATCCTGGCAGGTGCATTGATCCGAGTGGCATATCAACTGTCTCGAGATGTTGGCGGTGTTCCAGGCTCTAAGGAGTTTCCTGCCCGATCTCCAAGGCCACCATGTCCTGGTTCGTTCCGAGGAGAACAACACAGCGGTGGTGGCCTATCTGAATCACCAGGGCGGTCTGCGCTCGCGCCCTCTGGACAGACTGGCGCGTCAGATCCTCCTGTGGTCCCGGCAGAGGTTACTATCGCTCAGGGCGATGTATCTCCTGGGGACGCAGAATCAGCGAGCAGACCTGCTGTTGAGGCAGGGGCTGAGGCCCGGGGAATGGAGACTTCACCCCGAAGTGGTGGCGCTCTTGTGCGAAGAGTTCGGCCCCATAGACGTGGATCTGTTTGCGTCTCAAGAGACTACGCACTGCCCGCTATGGTTTCTCTCGTTCCTCCAGCCCCGTTGGGTCTGGACGCCATGGTACATTCGTGGCCGAGGCTACGTCTGTACGCTTTTCCCCCAGTCGCTCTGCTCCCGGGGTTCTGGAGCGGGTCCGCCAGGACTATGTCGGCCTACTGCTCGTAGCCCCGTTCTGGCCAACCCGGGTGTGGTTCTCGGACATCATGTCGCTCCTGGACGGCCCGCCGTGGCGGGTCCCTCTGAGGAGAGACCTGCTGTCCCAGGCGCAGGGCCGGGTTCTTCACCCTTGCCCCACCGTATGGCAGCTGTGGGTCTGGCCCCTGAGGGGGCACAGTACCTAGAGGCGGGTCTAACAGCCGGAGCAGTCGAGACCCTCCTGAGCTCCAGGGCCCTGTCCACACGGAGGATGTACGGCCTGAAGTGGAGTGTTTTCTCCACTTGGTGTAGGGAGCGGTCGGTGGACCCTGTTACCTGCCCGGTGGTTCAGGTACTTGAGTTCCTCCAGGACCGGTTCTCTGCTGGTCTTTCCCCTTCCACCCTCAAGGTGTACGTGGCAGCTATTTCATCTTTCCACACCCCTCTGAGGGAGGGGTTCTTGGGGAAACTTCCCTTGGTTGTACTTTTCCTCCGTGGTGCCCGGAGGATGAGACCTGCGACTCGGTCCAAGGTTCCCACTTGGGATCTGGCAGTGGTTCTTGGGGCGTTGGCTGAGGCCCCCTTCAAACCCCTGGAGTCAGCTGAGGCTAAGCACTTGACCCTCAAGATGGCCTTTCTCCTTGCTATCACCTCTCTGTGGAGGGTGGGGGAGCTCCAAGCGCTTTCGGTTTCCCCGCAAAGCCTGGAGTTTGCCCCAGGGAATATTAGGGCTATCTGCACCCTCGTTCAGGATACATCCCTAAAGTGCCTTCTTGTGCGGCAGGGTCCACAGTGCTGCAGGCATTTCATCCTCCACCTCATGTGACGGCGGAGGACGGGAGACTTCATCTGCTCTGCCCTGTCAGAGCACTGAGTATTTACACTCTGAGGTCCTCCCGTTGGAGGAAGGCTGACCAGCTGCTAGTGTGTTTTGGGTCTCCCAGGGCCGGGCTCCCTGCATCCAAACATACTATTAGCAACTGGATTGTTCAGACTATTTCCCTGGCCTATCAGGTGCGCGGTTTGCCTTCACCTGTGGCTGTGAGGGCTCATTCTACCAGAGGCAAGGCGGCCTCTCGAGCCCTCCTTTCCGGGGCCTCTTGCAGGATGTTGTTTAGCGGCTGGCTGGGCCACTCCGCACACATTCATTCGGTTTTACAGTCTTGACCTTCCTTCGGCACCTGGCACTCGTGCGCTCTCCTCTTAGTCGTGCCACTTTATTGCACACAGGGGCAGGCGGGGTTTTCGGCACGGTTTAGTGGGTATCTCGTTCCCATAGTGTCGTAACCGACGCAGTTCGAGTTCCCTCGAAGGGGAACGTCTCGGGTTACGTATGTAACCCTGGTTCCCCGAGAAGGGGAACGAGAGACTGCGTCGGCCCGCCGCACCTCTCTCCCCGCCTGAAGCACCTGCTTCATAGTTTAAGCTAATGATGAGTGTGTACAGGTGTGCTTTATACTCCTCCGGTTATTCCGTCACACCTTACCGTTCTTGCAACAGGCCAATAGGATTGGAGTGATTTCATTCACGTTCAGACCTGCTTCGCCTAGAGGCGTTCCCATAGTGTCGTAACCGACGCAGTCTCTCGTTCCCCTTCTCGGGGAACCAGGGTTACATACGTAACCCGAGACGTTCTCCTGCTTCAAGGTCCGGGTTCTGGCCCTCTATCCACCCCAATGACCTCCTTACTTCGTCTTTTCTCTTAAATATCATACTTGCCTTTACCATCAAAAACTGACACAACAGGGCTTCCCTCAACATTGACGTCAAAGGGATCCCTAGTGCGTCACAAACTGACGATTATGGCTCTTGACCAAGCGTCCATATGTGACGACTTGGGAGTGAGACCGGGTTGCAACATAAACTTTAAATGCTTCCTCGAATTACATCTAAAACCCACCTGCTCTTTCAAACAGTCCCATCTTGCTAAATGGCAGTTAAAAGCTCAATCTGAGCAAGACACAACCAATTCACGACAGGAAGCAAATGTATCTCTACCTCTTCCTCATTTAAATAAATCAACTGCAAAATTTGATGTGATTTCTGGCATTCAAAACACAGAGGCTCACTGGTGTCCAGTGTCGTCTGCCTACATGTTGCATATGCCTTCTTTGTCTACGTATTACTGGTTGGTCAAAACTTAAATATCTATCTGAAGTCAGATTTAAGCTGTAATGAAAACCTGTGTTTGAGAAACCAGCTACTGACAAACAAAGTGCATGCATTTAGCTAACTGCAGCACTTACGTCCTCTACCCAATTGCTTGTGTGGACATGCAATGTGTTTAGAAGTAGAAAGAGCCCCAAAATAGTTACTGTACTGAGAACAATAATCCCATACTATCTCGAGAGTGTCACTCAAATGAGTCATTTGTTTGCCATTAACTCATCACTTGTGTGGAGCTCTAATGAGATTGAATGCTGAAAATCTCTGACATTACCCGCCCTCAGTTTTGGTTTAGTGTAACAGCTAAAATCCCTGCCCCCCATGTGATCAAAATCACCCTACCATTCAACACAACGCATGTTTGTAAAAGGACTAAAAGTTGCAGCTTGCACATTCTTGCAGGTTACGTCCCATACCAAACATATGCATCACATGCATAGTAAGTCCTTGCAATACTCCTGAAATTGCTTGACCAAAGTGCTGACTTCAGAATTACAGTATTTGAATTAGAGTCCCCAAGTACTTTGCTGTGGCTGCCCAGTACTCCTAAATATGTATCTGGGTCAGATGCGGAATACAGATTTCTCCACAAGGATTAATAAAATGTTGGTTACGTAACTCAACAAAGTAAACACTAAAGACAAACATAGAGCAGCTTTGACTACCACCACCCCTGTACAGAGATTTACTGTATGTACCGTTTACACTAAGCAAAGGCCAGGTTGTAATTCATGAAAGTAATGTTTCAGCTTACCCCCCTTTTTTATCAAAACACTGCTCCTTTACCTATTAGCGGACCTATCAGCATATTACAGCTCGCTAGAAAGCCGGTGTTTTTACCAAGAATATACTACAGCTGGTAGTGTTTCAGGGCTTTTACTTTATTGGGCTCTTAAACCCTTATTACACCTTTTTTGTCTGTTTCATGTTTTTAATAGGGGATTAAAGCGTTGCATTTGCTGTAGTATTCATTTTGTGAAATAAATCATTATAGAGTGGGACAAAGTGTATTTTGAGGCTCAGCCAGTTGAAAACCACCACTCTGAGTCATACACTGCATTATCTGAAATAAAAGCTAATGGTGCCAAATAGCCTCAAATAGGAGAATGATAATGAATCCATGCACTTATTTGCATTTTCAGACTTATTTACATGTGCTGCTGCAAAATAGCACTTCTGTTCTCACCAGAAAGTCCAGCCTCCACCTTGTTTTGTTATGCTCAGTATTTACCAGCTGGTACTTCTGCAAGAGGGAGTGTCCCACTGAGCACAGCCAAGCTGCCAAGGCCTACTTTATTGCAATATGACTGGAATGCATGGCAAGACTTTATTAGGGCACATGTGATTTAAGAATCAACGAAACAGAAGCGCTGGTACCTTTTGTGTGATGAGACAGTAGAGAGTAAGTATGAAGAGCAGTCCTCCACAGATGGAGGTGATGATGAAGCCAAACTTGTACAGGTCTCTGACTGGTCTCCTGTGCGAGGCCTTCTCTGACTTCCTACCATAACTGTCTGTAGAAAAGGACATGTTATCTGTGATCTCAGTGGCTCCAAACATCCTCAAAATTCTTAACAGAACTTTCCAAAAGATAGAGATTCCCACCTGTAAAATACTGTGTGGTTGACTCTGTGGGAAGCTCTGTGGTAGAGCCAAAGGTTTCTGTGTATTCGTGCTGGCATCTCCAGTCTACTGGTGCGTCACTCGTCGTCACCAACTCCCAGTAAACAGACAGCACTTCTGAAGCCCTCTGCAGTGCCTCTGTAGGAGACCCTCTGTAGAGCATCTCAAAACTCTCTGGCTTATCCTGTGGCAGATTCCAAGAAACATACCTCAAATGTTTTCACAAGTACTGCAGATTTATCTCCTCAGCTGGGCAGTTCCTCACACCACATATTTCTTTTTCACTTTATTTTCTTTTATATTAAAGACAATTTAATCCATCAGGCCTGAGAAACAGGCTGTAAGTTCACCACTCAGAAGCTCACACCCACCTCAACCTCTTCATTAATCTGAGGCACACATTTCTGAGAGTAGATGTTGAGGATGAGCGCTCTCAGGGACTGAACGTAGCCGTCATTGACTGAGCCCCGACTGTATTTGAAGTGGGTGGTAAGCAGCTCCAGGATCCAAGGTAAAGCAGCTTTTACAAAGCAACATTTGCTCTGTGGGAAATCAGAGCATGGTGTAATAAACATGACAGCATGAGACAGTTTATGGAAGGTTTGAATCAAAGCCTTTGAAAAGAAACATCAAACAAATGTTACCTTACCAAACTTCTCTGTTCTATGAATGTGTAGGTTATCGAGCACCCACTTCTCAATTGGTTATCCATCTGCAGAAAACAACAACACAGAGATTTCATCGTTTTGTGACGCTGTTTCAACAGCCATGTTTCTAATGTTTTTTCAGCACCTACCAGATGCCTGACTGTCAGCAGGTGCTCCCTAGTGATGGAGTGTTTGCATGGACCAGGGACCTCAGCCATAGTCAGAGGGAAGCTCAGGAACATAAGCACACACAGACACTTTACCTGCAACTGACACAATCACTTATTATCTTTATGTTAACCACACCTTATCTTCACACCCCTGAGGTCTTTAAGGAGGGGCTGACACACACACATGCGGACATTTACTCAGCTGGAAAGCTCCAGTAGATTATGCATGCTCTCAACTGCCAACTCAACCGTGGCAACAATATGGGCCAATGTGGCATCCTGATCTTAACCATTTCAATATGAATGCAGTCCACATAGCAGTCTCTCTCTGATTCACTTTTCCCTCCCAAAATTGTGATCGTCTTTTCTTCTTTAAAGAGCTTTCTTATAAATTATTTTACAAGGAAAACCATGTTCAAAGCAGACTTAAATAAAATGCTCCTAATTGTGCCATAACATTTTAACAGTGTGCATATGAGCAATCTCTGACTTTCAATTCAAAATGTACGTTACAATGCCTTGAATAAAGTGCACAAGAAAAGCAGTTGCACATTAGTTGTCTGTTACAGTTCTGCTTCTCAGCCTTGGTTCTGACAAAGTATCAGGTTTCGGGTCGAGTTTGGGCAAAATGCAAAGCTTCTCTTTGCTGCGACACTAGCAGTGTGACTAACAGTGCCTAAGGGGAACCTAGCCTGGTGTTAGATTAGTTCCAGTTAGGATCAAATGGTGCCCTCTACCATGGGAGCTTGGCTTGGGAGAGCAACATGCACGGACTCCTTCTGTAGCTGATGATGCCTGCTACCAAGCACCTTTTGGCAACTGTAACAGTAAAATAGGCTCCAGATGGATTTAATCCTTCTTCTGAGGATTAAAACATGGTGACAAGCATATGTTGCTCACAATGCGGGCAAAATGTCCGAACTGGAAGGTATTCTTTGATAATCGTCCCCTTGACTCAGTTGACCTGTGACTTTGATGCAGCTTTTTTAACAGTGAAGACAGACGCCAAACACTGAATTGAAACAATAAAAATTGATTCATATGTTGCCGGATCGACTTCTGAGATGTATTAAGACACAAAAGGCAATTCTTTGAAAGCCACGAGAGACGAGAAGTATTCTTTTCATATTCTGTCGTCTGTTTCTCATATAATGCTGCGCTGTATAGTTTAACTCTTGTTTCGGTTTTTGAATTATATAACACAAACGTTAAGCGGTTCCTGCAAAGATTATGCGTCCTGATTTACCACGGATCTAAGTTGTTTAGTATGTTCATGCAAACTGATTGCTGGGACCCGAAGGAAAGGAAAAAATAATGGTTTTAACTATTAAAGAAAATACAAAATAAAATCTGATAAAAGCGGCATTTGAAAGTGACAAAATTAAAAAGTGAAGTAAAACAAGTTGCTACATGGGAGCTGAAAGACTATCATGCCAGCCTCTGACCATTATTGGGAACCCACTTGATTACTGATAATGACACATAATTAAATTCATGTAATCTAATAAAACTACTGATGTGACTGATATTTGGTAAATGTAGAAGCACATGATGCAAATGTCACCTGTCACATGATTTTTTTTCTCCACGCTCGTCGTCATATATGTATGTAGGTCAGCAAACTGCACATTAAAGCAAAACAAACTTCACATACAGACTTACACAAACATGTTCTATTCTTTTCCTGCACTCCACAGAGTGTATCGTCAGCAGATTATTTCCTGCAGTGATTATAGAAAAGTTCTCACCTACCTTAGCTTTGCTCTGAATCAGGGTTGACACAAGGATGGTCATCTGGTACGTGTTTGACAATGGAAAACACCAGACTCCTCTGTCACACACATTGAAGCAAAAAGATCCTTTTCATATATTCAGTTCCACTCCACAGAAAGGAATTTGCTGTTAAGTAAATCTGACACTTTGTCATGTGGCGCTGTTCTTCAATGCATTGCCTGACGTGCCCCTCCTGCACAGATTGAGTTCAAACCTAGACTAACTGTCTCAGCTGACAGACGGCCCTTTTAAAGACCTCCCACCTCTCCTCTGTTTCACAAGATGTAGCGTCCTGGTCTCTGCAGATGTGTAATAACAAATTGGTTTTGAGGTTGTAGATTGACTCACTGGATAATGTATTTTTCATCTCCATCAAGAGTCCTTCGCTCAGGGAATTATTAAAAATTAAAAATTGGACAAATAAAGCTTGTGGGAACTTAAAGAGGATGCTGGTAACATCTGTTCTTGAAACTCTATCTCTTGAAAACAACTTGCATTTAAAACACTCACTTGAACTTTCAAAATAACAATTTCCATCAGGGGCTATACACCCATGCTTTCCTCAGGAGAATGCAAACTCATGGAGAAGATCTGAAGATAACTGTGGGGGTCTGCAGAAGCTGTTGGAGGCAGCAGATGTTTCATGCTGTTCAAGGAATCCTGAACTTTTTGTTTTTTGAAATGTCACATTGCTTCAAAAGAAAGTAGGGTTTATTGGGACGGTGGGTGTGTACCATTATTTGAAAGATCTGACCTAACCATAGAGATAGACTCACACACATTCAAACGCCTTTATGAGTTGTTCTTAATGGGTGAATTCTTCTCATAACAGATCAACGCACTCCAACAGAGAAAAAAACCCATTTGGCCTGGGATCTATTAACACAGGAAATGAATTCCTAAACTTTGCATTGTGAACACATTCCAGCACCTAACACCGTAAACTCATGTATATCTGAGTCATTTTTTGTAGTCGTACTGTAAAATGTACTGTTTCCGTGGTTAACAATTTATTACTAGTGGGAAGCAAGTACTTTCAATCAAGTACAATTTTGAGGTACTTGTGTTTTGCTCAAGTGTTTCCATCTTAAGCTACAGAGGGAACAGTATAAATATAATAATAATATTTTTACTCCACTTCATTTATCTTACATCTATAGTTACTGGTTACTTTGCAAATGTGCCTTTTACACACAAAACACATGATAAACAAATAGAATATGATTGTTGTATAAAATATGATTGTTCTATAGAATAACAGCAACAACCAATGCTATTTACATGTTACAAGTTCAGTACTAATAATCAAATATGTATAATAATAAAACACTACGGCGCCATTCATTGTAATGAGTACTTTTTGATATTTAATGTCACTGTGGTAATATTTTAAGTTAAGGTCCTGATACTTATTTCACCACATAATTAAAAATATTTCTTTGGGAACATGTGTGTTCAGATTGCAGGGCATTAAGAATAGTCATAGGAATACAGCAGGTGTCTTTAGCCCAGTACCTTGATTTATGGCATGTCAGAAATTCACAATTTGTGTGACACCATGCACCACATGCACTCGAAAATCAAACCAAATCATGGGAGTAGAGAATTGCAGCTCATGGCTAAAACTGCAAAGGTCACACAATACTCTGCTTTGTCACTTCTGCCATGGGACCATTATTATTTAACATGTAAAATGTACTACTTCAAATGCAACCAGTAACTCTAATTAAAATGTGTTGTTGAGTGTCACCCCTCTCGGCGATTGCGATGCTTAATTGATTTCAGCTCTTAGTGTTTGTTGTGGGTGTTTTAATTGGAATGTGGATCTTTCAGATCAATTTGAGAAGTACCTATGATCTCATTCCTTATTTTATTGTGTGTCATGTAATGTGGGGAACTGGTCTTGGTCTTGACTCGGTCTCGCCCTCCCTCGGTCTTGGTCTCGACATGGTCTCAGACCCTAAAAGTCTTGGTCTTGTCTCGGTCTCGATAAACTCTGGTCTTGGTCTTGACTTGGTCTCGGTTTGGGAGGTCTTGACAACAACACGACCTCTACCACTTCATTTCAACTTTAAATGAATAGTTTGACTTTTTGGGAAATAGGCTGATTCGCTTTTTAGCTAAAAGTTAGATGAGAAGATTACAGTAATACCACTTTCTTTATCTGTCCGTTAAAGATGGAGCAAGCAGCCGGTTAGCTGGAGGTTTAGCGTAAAGAAACAGCTAGCCTGGCTCTGTCTAAAGGTTGGTCCAAACTAAGGTACCATCACCCTTAAAACCCCAACATGTGGCCTAGCTTTGGACTGAGACAAGCTAACCGTCTGCTGTCTCTATTAAAATGATAAATATGAGAGTGGTAGCAATCTTCTCATCTAACTCTTTGCAAAAATGCAAACAACTGAATAAACTTAAAATGTACAAATTATTCCTTTGATATGAAATTTGTACTGTATTAGCCTTGTACACAACAGCAGATGTAAGGACAGCCACCCACTTTCTTGATTGACTGTAAAATTTGCATATAATAAATTTGCATATATATTTATTACTAATAGTTATATTTCTTAAGAAATGTCTGTTTTCTGGAATGTGTCTGAGTGGTTGTTTGCTAGTTTCCAGCCAGAATAGTTATTTTGACTATATACAGAGATGTCAACCCCCACCTCACTGCCTATCAACACAATTCAAAGCAGACAATTCATGGATGTGAAAACAAGGAAGCAGATGGCACCCTCACTGTTCCATCATTGTAGCATGAGAGGTCTTTCCCCAATTCAGAGAAAAATGAGACAAAAAGATCTGACAAGAGCACCTGATGAATATGTGTGCTTTTATTGTTTCGTTATCTGTGTGTCTCTTCTGTCTGCTAAGTAAGCAGAAATAACTGTCTTTGTCGAGTCAGTCTTAAAAATCACCCTGAAGAGGCATGTTCACTCCTGAAGAGATATGTAGTATGGAGCTTTTTAATGATGAGCTTTAGGCTACTCACTAAAACAGGATTTCAGCTCTAAACCATGGTTTCCTGGGTGACAAAATTATTTCCTCAGTGTCAGGGATCACGCGTTGCACAAAAAACTGGAGAAAGAATGATTTGATTTGGAAAATATTATTGGGACATTATATCTGGCATTCACTCCTACTGTAACTGTTGGTTATTAAAGATAAAACCCGCTGTACAGAGGCAACTGCATTGGGAAAAAATGTTTCACATCACGCATGACTGCCACACATGAGACAAATGTGTATCCGATTGTTTTACCTTTTTACCTAAAAATAGAACTACATATACAAACAATGACAAATATTTCTGTGACTGCTCTGGTGTGGCTGATTAAATCTGCTGCAACAATCTGTTTTCAACTTCAGCTTTGACTTCACATGGGCACAAAATGCATTCGACAGACTTGGAGGAAAACAATGTCAGGCTCGAATCAAATTTAAAGCTCAGTAAACAAGTTTATTCTTGTCACGTCAATACAATTCAGATACTGATTTCCACTGTTGCTGTATGATAATAATCAGCAGAGTCACAAACACACACACACACACACACAGAAACCTTCCATTTGCTGGTAAATTCTCATAAATAAATAAAAAGTTTAGAAGGTGTTCAGTGCAACTGGTACCATATATAGATATATGAAAGCAGGATTTGCAAGAAATGGGAGGATGATATCGCTTAATGTGCACTCTCCTTTACCATTTTTATAAAAACAGATGTAGTTTGATCATGAGTTATCATAAAAGGTAACTGAATGGAGGACTGGACAAAAAGGAAAGAGTGGCAAAGAAAGAAAAAAAGAATAAAACGCAGCATGGCTGATGTTTAACTTTCTTTCACACTGCTGTAGCAAACCCTATTCGATTATTGCGGCGGTCAAACTCTGTGTAGTAGCGAGCAATGAAGTTGGCACCCAAAATCCAGATGGGACCTGTAGGGGGCGGCACATCCAAGCCCCTGAAGGTGACGGTGCAGACCTCCCCTTCGATCTGTGATTGCTGGAGCCACAAACAAAAGTCAGTTTTATCACAATAATACGGTGGCCCTGAGGGTCAAAACACAACATTTCAGACAACACAAAAACATTTCAGATAATAGAAAAGGTGGGATCTTCTTGTTTGTGATTGGACTGAATCCAAGTCCCTGGCTACAGTTCAATGTCATTTCCTGTTTCTATTATTTGTACTACTCACAGCAGTGTCCTTGCACAAATTTTAAACTGAGTTTGAAAGGATGGAAAAGGAGATTGAAATCATAAGAGAACATTTTAACAAAGGACAGTCATATAATGTAATTCTCAATATGCTTTCATCATATTATGACGTTAATGTCCCGTGGAACCCTGAAAGCACTCTTGAAAGAATTAGGACTGAGGAGACGGGATGGCTACTCTTCAATAACATAACATCAGAAGGGCCATCGTATCAGCACTGATTGGACCTGGACAGATGTTTGGATACATAACTATGTGGTATGACTTCAAAGCAACTACATTGCCTCTGTGTTAAAAAGGGAAGCAGTATTGCTAACGCCTCGTGAACGAGATGCAAAGGGCCTATCCTGCACAAACCCTTGTGGAAAATGTGCAACAACACACAGCAGAGAAGAAGCAGCAGCAGGAAATTCTCTTTTAAAGGCATAGCTTTTCAGTAGAGCCAAAAACCACAACAACTGGCCAGTTAGCTATCTAAGGGACCTCCGTGTAGCTCACCATTCTAGTTAACTCTAACAAATGCCCAGAGAGTTATTAGTTTGAAGTAGAGTTTAGAGCGTCCCTCCAGCTGATCTGAATCTAGCACCAACCCACCTTAACGTATCCACATTGAATAAGCTCTGAATTGACTTGGGTTTTATCCAATCACAAACAAGAACTGTTCTCACACCCTTTCCGTAATCTGAAATGTTGTTGTGTTTTGTAACATTTTGTTGTGTTTTGTGAAATGTTGTTGTGTTTTGGCCACCATACAATAAGCCACTATAACAGCAACAGCCAAGTTATTAGAATATTCTAAAGCCTCCAAGGTAATATTTAATATAAGACAAGATAATATTTTGTGTGTACCCATTATTATCATGTAAAACAAGATTACAGAAAGGGTGTGAGCCTAGTTTTGTTGCAGAACAAGTTACAACTTTATGTTCTCATCAGTACATGTAATGAGCCCACATAAATCCCAGTATATGTAGCAACCTGAACTGAAAACACATGTGTAGGTGTACAGGGCCTTTAAATAAATAAAGCATCAGTCGATCATATGGTTTGTTTGTAAAAATAAAGAAATTAACTGCAGCTGTAAATGTTGAACAATATTTCCATGTGAAATGCAGTGAGTAGAGAGAGAGTGTCAAAAGTGTCAAGTAATGCCTCAAAATTGTAGTTAAGTACAGTACTACTAATTTCCACCACTGCATGTTTATATTAAAATGATTCAGCATTCATCATCCTGCTTACCCATAAGATATAATCCTCCTGAGTGAGTGAGTACTCCTGGCCACCCAGGTGGAAAGTGACGCTGGGCAATGTCTTGACAGTGTCGCAGTTGACTTTGTACTGATACACAACACAAAGTAATGGGAGATGACGGGTGATTAATTTTTACAGACAAATGTTTTTTGTGAGAAACCATCTTGCGTGTATAAAAACGTACTCCACTTTCATCCTGCTGTGCTCCGATGGTTTTCATCAGCGCAGACACAGAGGAGGCCGGTCCTGTGATGTAAGAGGAGCCTGTGTCGATCACAGCTGTGCAGCCCTCTACACAAAACATAATCTCCATCCCCACAGAAACTCTGAAAGAATGAAGGCAGAGGTGGAAAATGAAACACGTTTCTGAATGAGTGCACACACACACACACACACACACACATACACACACACTGTTTACATTATGAAGTAAAGAGCTTACCCTTTCATAGTAACTTCCCATTTTCCTGTCTCTCTGGTGTCCATATAATTAAAGTTTCCAGTGTAGTAGTTTGGGTCTGTGCCACCAAGAACCAGCTCTCCACCTGGGGAGTGTTTTGGGTCCCTGAAAACAGTTTTGATAAAATCATCCGTTAAGCTGACTTTTACTGTGCATATCTCAATCTCACTGTTGAAGCTGTGATTTGGTTTAAATGCTACATCAGCACAAGTTTAATCCTATGACAGCTCATTCTTATGATGTTTCCCAGAGGAAAGGGGGGGCTGTGGGTTTCTTCAGGACATAACTGAGCACAATAAATTGAGAAGAAAAATATGAAGACGTGTGAGAGTGACTGTCTTTATCTATTTTCTCATAACACCCTCTTGTCTCATCCAGATCCACATTAATTCTTTGTTTTCCCACAAAATAAATTTAGATATTAACAGATGTTCAGACAAGAGAATCCCCCCCCCCCCCCTCCCTAGTCTCAGTCAAAACAAAATTGACACAGCACAATATATATTTTCTTAACAGCTTTTCAACAGCTGAATACATTTTGTTCCAATTATCTCATTATTCTAAATTATGTTTTCTCTTCTGGAGAGGTGATTTCATACAAAATAGTAAAACATAGTAGGTAGAGGAGGTCTGTATGACTCAGTTTGACCCACCTGCTGTAGTAGACAGAGAACACGTCTTCCTTGAGGACATGCTGAGACATGATGCGATCAAATACGGGAGTGATGCCGTCGATGGCCACATTGGGGTAACCCATGCCCAGGACTCCATCAAACTTGGCAAAGATGAAGGGCATGGCAGACAGAGAGGTTGCTTCAGCAAACACCTGCACCACAGGGATACCACCAACCTGCAGGAAAAGAACAAGCTAAAGGTCAAAGTTTGAAAATGTAGCCTGGGAGATGAAGTTAAAGCATTTATGTAAGCATTTATGTAAAAAGAAGCTCTGTTTGTTTCTGCAGGACGTTGATCTTGAACTCACCACCACCACATCCTCGCTCAAAAATCCCCTGACATTTCCAGAGGCGTACTGGATGGAAAAACCGGTTCCGTTCTCAACGTAAGTCCGGGATTTGGAGGCATCGTACCTGTTGTGAGTAACTAAAAGTTCAAAATTCATTTGAGTCCTGAAACAACCATGTAGCTGGGAAGCTATAAAGAACTATGTTTCCTATGACTTCTCATTTATTTGAAAATAACGTTTACTTCATTTGAAGCTGCAATAACTGATTTTGTTTATGTTGATGTATATGGCAAACTCTCTTTTAGCTCTGTTTTTGGTCTCCGCCATTTTATTAACTGTGTGTGTCTTCTGTTCCTTTCCTCTGAATACAGCTGCCTGCTGTGGCAGAAACAACACTATGAGAGCAGTGAGCGTGAACCTACGTTGTGGGCTGGAAAGCTAAACAATGAGCTGAAACTCATTATAAAAGCTTGGTAAAGCAGAGGTTGAGCTGCAGATTCCTTAAGTAAATGTTATTTTCCAGCTTTTATGTAGAACATTCATACTTACAACAGGCCGTGGAGAAAGGTGAGCAGCTTTGTGAGGGCACCCACAGGTTGGCTGAGCCTGTGTCAAATACCACGTTGAACATCTGGGCTGGAGAACCAATGCTGATTTCCCCAAAGTACTGGGTCTATTCGGAATACACATTTATGATACACTTATATACATATATATATATATACACACATCTTTTGCCTTTTTGTTGTTGTTTGAATATTTCTTGGAAAATGTTTTCTACTGCAGTAAGCCTCTAATAGTATTTGAAGGTATGAAATATGACATTGAGAGTATGACTCACACAAAGAATATGTTAAATTACTAATTCAAAGGCCGCTGGTTTTACTCTCAAAGACTTGAGACGCACATCCAAGAGAGCTGATGAAGCCTCTTGGATGAGGGGCTGCTTTAACCATCAGAGCTAAAGTCTGTTTTTGTATTCAAGACTAAAACAACAAATTCACTTGCCTCTGCCTTAGTGCATCTAGATTTCATTTTACCACCTGCACAACTCAGAACTTTCATGAAGACACACACAAGAGGTTTTAGATACGTTCCTTTAAATATATAATGCACAAAAATGTCTCACATCCAAGTAGTTGGTTAGAGGTGTGGGAACAGTCCCGTTGCTGGTGTCATCTGTGCGCTTCTGGGCCAGCTCAGTCAACACCTGCTCTGCAGAAATATCCATCTCCCGCAATGTCTGTCTGATAGATGGCATCTTCTTCAGGGCGACCCTGGAAACAGAACAGACAAGCAGCAGAATTCTTCTTCAGGAACTAAATCAAAAGTGGAACTGTGGACATGATGTTATATTTCTAAAGAGGTCTGTGAGGTATATTTTCCTTGCTATGTATCCAATACATATGCCTGGTCATCATCCCAGTATAACAATGAGCCTTTAATAAAGTACAGACTGCTTTGCTCTCAGCGCCTAGCCAGAAAAAGGAACAAAAACACATGTTAAGCCAATGCTGAAAACATTAGCTTTTGTAATGAACCAATAAAACCCATTTGTTTTCCTGTCCATGTTTGTTTTGTTGTTTGCTGTTACTACTCTGCCGTAGTTTTTTCTTAAGTGAGGGCATGTATACAATAAGTCCTTACTGCTACACTTTAATTCTGGTTTCTTCTAGCAAAGCAGGCAGGTAGAGAAATATGTTTCTTACCTTCTCAAGGCACAACTGGAGGTCACACTCAATGATAGAGCTACCAAACACATCCAGTAACTCATCAGCAGTGCCATGGTGAGCTCTCTGACAATGGGCGGAAAACACAGGCCAGTGATGAAGGCTGTAAATGCAACGTGAGTTTTCCTGGCTTATTCCACGTTGATTAAATCTAAATTTGTGAAAGCTGAGACTTTCTCTCTCTGTGCTGTCTGGTCCCTTGACTCATTTTATACCATGTCCTCTCCACCATGCTCTCACCCATGGGCCACTGACGGTGACTTTGCGCTTTCCTGGAGGTGACCACTTGAAAACAAGCTCCACTTCCCTCCCCCCACCCAACCCCTCTAACCTTCTGCATTGGTCACACAACCCTTCCTGTGATAAACAGGTCCCAGTGAGAGGTCTGAACCTTGACCTCTCATAAAACATTGAAGACAGACTGCCGGGGTGCAGAGCTCCTGAGATTGCTGACGTTAGTATGGGTGGACACCTTGTCTGCAAGGCTGTGAGAAGCTTTAGAGGGATTGACAGATGCTCTGAGCTGTCAGGGCAGATTAGTTGGATGTTGCTTGTTAAACTCAGTTACAAGTCATTTTAAATCTCATCTGGTGCAGACTGCATCCTGTAAATGCACTTTAAGACATCATTTTCTTAATCTGATGATGTATCCGTTTCACTAGATGGTGTTCTGGCTTTGTGAAATGGCTGATGATTTAATATGAAATAAAATGTTGATTGTAGTTGCTGCTGTTGAAAACATTTAGCTTGTCTCTTTTTCCCACAGCTGTATCTTTAAAGCAAACACCTCTGTGCACCCTCTACTTGAGATTTCTCTCCTCATGCAAAGTTTGCTGCAGCTTGTGCACACTTTAGTATTGATTTTCACATTAACAAGCTAAGGGGGAAGGACAACACATCTCTAAGTTCAGTTCAAGGTCTTGGATAGGGATCACTGGCAAGAGATGGGGCCCATGTTGAGTGTATTACGCAGTGCAGGAGAGCATGCTGTGTTTTTGTACCTCTTGCCACAATGCTCAGACTCGACAAGTCTAATTGTTCTGTGGTGCTAGATCTCACTGGGTTTTACCACAGGATTCTCACACTATCTGGCCTGTCAGGGTGGTGTGCTGGTACTGTACCGACCACCCAGTCGAGCCAGGAGTTATATGAGGGTCCATGTCAGGCACCAGTTCAGACAGCTACAGCAGAGGTCAGAGATCAGCCACTAAGATATTCCCTGAGGACAGATCATCCAGAAAATGATAGCGTGGTTACACGCAGCTTTAGAGGCAGTGATGAATTACAAAAACAACACAGGATTGCAGCAAGATTACCTAGCCTCTATAATTTATTAGCAGAGGCTAATGTTTACTTGTGTGCAACTTGTGGACACAAAACTATTAAAACAACCTTTATTTTGACTTGTTTTTTTTTTTTAAATCTTGTTTATTTTAAATCAGTTATACTCACTATTTTTATAATAACAATGTACCAATTTACATGTAACAATATGAAAGAGGTCGCTTGTTGTGATGAACCTGCAGCGAATTATCTCCTGAATCTGCAACATTACGGAGCTTTAGAGCGCGTTTCAGCTCAGCACTCTTATAGCATAATTTTTGTCTGCAGCTGGCAGCTGTTATTCAGTGAATAAACTTTATGAAGCCCAGCACCAAACAGCAGACGAATGCATTTAGCGACTAGCTTATCAGTGTTGTCCATGAACGGGTTAAAAGCGCATGCTCATGTTTTTGGTGAACTGAACATATCCGTTTGCAACAATGAATGCTCACATTCACACACGAGCACTGTATTTCAAGGCACTCAGCATGCCTACCCGGCAGGATGGCTAGTGCAATTGGCAAGTCTGATGTAGCTACCGGTCAAAGGATTTTTATAGGTAAATCAGTACAATGCTCCACTATGTTTACTAGCTAGTTGTAACTTTGTCAGTGTGCTGTTTGGTGTGGCAGGTAGCATACAGTGAAGAGCTTTTTTCATTAAAACTGCAAACGAGGCTCATGGGAGCAGTGACAGTGAAGCAACAGTTAAAGTTGGGGGCCGGCGTACCAAAACATTTAGCTGCAAGGGGCTTTGTTCGATGATCATTTTCTGTGGGTTCACCGTTATGAGCGATCCCTTTCACATTAGATGCCCTCATTTGATGTTTTGTTATTATAAAAACATTGATTAGTGCAGCTTTAACATGCCATATTTTATATTATATTTTAGTAAAAGGCCAGTAAACCTGTCTTTCTGTTAGACCTTACAGGTTGTTTTTGACAAGACATTTTGGGTACAATTTTACAGACATCTGACTATTGAGCTGCTTGGCTAAATCTCTTTCCCACACTGCCTAAAGGGGCCTGTGCGTCACTCCTGCCTTGCCTCCCACCTCTCCAGAAAGTTTTTTAAAAATTGTTTATTTCAAAGCAGCTATAGTCAATATTCTTTTAATAAGAACGTATCAAATGACATGTAACAAATGTGAAACGGGACGTAGTGATGAACCTGCAGAGAATTATCTCCTGAATCTTCCGCCTCTCCCTGCACCACTATGAGCGATCCCTTTCACATTAGATATAGTCACTGATGACAGGACATTGGGGGGGGGGGCAATTTCACAAACATCTGACTATCTGACCTGCTTTGCTAAATCTCTTTCCCATACTGCCAAGAGGGACCCGTGCGTCACTCCTGCCTGGCCTCCCACCTCTCCAGTGAGTCCACTGCACTGGTGGACATGAGAAATTTTAAATTGTCTCCTGGAAATTGGATTTGAGCGTCATATGTTTTTTAGTGTGATTCATATTTCCTTGGAGGCCTGCATGTCCAGTCAAAAGGCAAAAGTCTTATAAAACAGTGAGATAACTTTCTGGTCATGTCAACAAAGTAAAGCAAAAAGTCTTTAGTTATAAAAGAGGAGGCTGTTCAGAAAGGTACAGAAGACTTAACCTCAAACTGTTTCTGCTGACAGATGCACATCAGAGGTGGAATTAATTTAAGAGGATCCTGTAGGGTTGTGAGTTATGTGTCATGATAAGAAAGATATGAAGCAGAGCAGGGGTTGTTTGCAGGAAATGAGACTTGAGGGAAGTTATCACTCAAACAAACAAGCCTGACTCCCAAAGCCACAAAAGCTCAAAGTTAAATACTGACCAGCTGGCATGAGCCACAAAATTCAAAATGTTTGTATGTTTTCAGCTCATTTCTAAGAAGTTGCTACAATTTAGTGCACAAAAAAACAGAACAATAATTTGGTTTTGCTGATTTTATGCTCAGTTTTGTTGTTGAATGTGAAGCCAATGAACTCCAAATTAGAGATGACAAGACTGTGATTCCATCTGGAGACAATATGTATGAAAATATGTGGGACAGTCTTCACAACAGGAGGTAAAAAATGTAGAAATTGAGACCAAAAGATGTAGTAAAAACACATTTTATGTGCAAAAGTATGTTATCCGTCCCCAAGAGCACTGTGAGTGCTTGATTTTTTTTTGCAGGCAGATTTATCATAAGAAATCAGTGTTTTAATTCTTCACATGGTTGTGTCTTTTTAGACCTTTCTAGAGGCGTAAACATGCTGTGTCGCTCCTGGCCAGCAGAGAGCAGTGTTGGACTTAAAAACACATCAGGACAGAACTGAGAGGAAACTGGATTTCACCTGTGGGAGTCAGAGTGTACCCAGACCGACCTGCAACTCTGAAGGAAAACATTCCTCTGCTACTAATTCTGGCTGACTTATTTTGATGTTGCAATACATTTAAAACAACTAGTGGTAATTTAGTGTATAAGCACAAGTAGTCTTTTGAAGTTTGCTTTTGTTGTGTGTATATTCTTTTTCTAAGGTCTGCTTATGTTCTAAAGCTTTCTTATTGTCAACAAATCCCAAAACCAGCAGTTGTATCCAAAGCCTGATGCAGCCTATTCCTTTGTTCGACAGACTTTCATTGTTGTCCAAAAACTGTTCAGCGAGACACATGAGTGATATTTTCCTTCAATAAGGTGAAGATGAGCACTGTAGCTTATTTTGAGTCGCTCTCACATTCAACATCTTGTTGCTGTAAATACTCTAAAGTTGTATTTCCAGCTGAAAATAATCTACAACAAATGCAAATGTACTCTCGTTTGAGTAGCTAAAACTACAATGCCCAGCTTTTAAATGAAATGATTTAACCATTTGAAAAAAATGAATGAATGAAAAGAAATGTTGAATGTCTTCCTCTGTGAGAGCAGCAGGCTCAGTAATTGTGTGGATGACAATATATATATGTGTGTGTGTGTGTGGTGTGTGTGTGTGTGTGTGTGTGTATAAGTTTTGTTATTGTACCATACTCAAAGCATTTTAATTTATTTATTTTTAACAAATGCTTTAAAAAAATGATGGGGACAAAATAAGCCATTTCAAAATGTGTTGGGGACATGTCCCCAGTGTAAATGACACCCATGAGTGCACATCATCTGAACAAATCAAGGGGGAAAAAAACTAATTTTAAAAGGAAAACCATAATATCCCAAATATAATTAGAACACATATGAATTAATAAATAAAAATGCAAATGTAATAAAAAGACAAATAAACTATGTTAAATTAAGTGATTAAAGTAAATAAACAAAATACAAATTAAGTTAATCATTTTAAAAGCAAATGTAGCAAAATTGCAATTAAAAATGAGATTAGAAATAATATGTATTTTTAAAAAGGTATGCGTGCTGCAGAGAAATTCCATAGAATTTACCATATTCAGCCTCTGCTGGTGATCAGAACTGAGTCTGTAAATCCAGAATGAATAATGAAAAATACAATAATGACACAATGATTTTATTGTTGTGCCATGCATATTACCCACATAGGCTTACAAGATACCATAGTTTCATACAAGTCAGAACCAGAACGCTGAGTACACATTTTCAAATAACAGACAAAGTGAAGCTGAAGCATCTTTCATGGTCCAATCTTCAGACCGTCACTGTGTACAGTAAAATTCATAAATCACTGACAGAAACATACTATGTAGTACTCGAAAAATCTGAATAAATACTAGCTAAATAATCTATCTTGCCTTCTTTCTCAGGCTTTTCGAAATGTTAACAAACTTAAACACATCAATATTAAACAGTAATTCCAATGTTCTGCTCATCTGCTCACTAGAATATTTCATGATTTTCTGTAGCACAGAACATTAACTCTCTTAAATCTTCATAATATG